ATTCAAATAAACAGTGACAGAAAACTTCCCTAATTTGGTGAAGGAAGAAGGATTCAAGTTCAAGAAGCACAGAGACCCCAGTAAGAAGAACCCAAACAGGCCCACACCAAGACACATAGTAATCAAACTGCCAAAAATTAAAGACAAGAGATAAGCAACAGGTTACCTACAAAGGAACACCCATAAGGCTGTCAGCTGACTTCTCCACAGAAACACTACAAGCCAGAAGGGAATGGCATGAAGTAATCAAGGTCATGAAAAACAAGGATCCGAATCCAAGACTACTCTACCCAGCAAGGCTGTCATTCAACATAGAAGGTCAAATAAAGAGCTTCCCAGACAAAAAAAGGCTAAGGGAATACATTAGCACCAAACCAGCACTGTAAGAAATGTTAAAAGGACTGCTGTAATTAGTAGAAGAAATAGGAAGAAAAATATAACCACACTAAACAAAAATGGCAATAAACAAGTACATATCAATAATCACCTTAAATGTAAATGGATTGAATGCTCTGATAAAAAGACACAGAGTAGCTGATTGGATAAGAAAGCATGACTCATCTATATGTTGTTTACAAGAGACCCACCTCACCACAAAAGACTCACATAGGTTGAAAGTGAAGGGATGGAAAAAAATTTTCCAAGCAAATGGAAAGGAAAAAAAAGCTGGGGTAGCAATACTCATATCTGATAAAATAGATTTCAAAATGAAGGCCATAACTAGAGACAAAGAGGGCCACTACATAATATTGAAAGGATCTATCCAACAGGAAGATATAACCTTGATAAACATATATGCACCCAATATAGGAGCACCAAAATATATTAAAAATCTTCTGGAGGACTTCCAAGGAGAAATCAACAGCAATACAGTCATAGCAGAAAACTTCAACACCCCACTGACATCACTGGATAGATCCTCTAGACAAAAAAATTAGCAAGGAAACAGAGACTCTAAAGAAGCACTAGACCAAATGGATTTAATAGATATCTACAGAGAATTACACCCCAAAACTACAGAATTCACATTCTTCTCAAGTGCACATGGGACATTCTCAAAAATAGACCACATGATAGGACACAAACTAAATCTCTACAAATTCAAGAAGATTGAAATCATATCAAGCATCTTCTCAGATCACAATGGCATGAAACTAGAAATCAATTGCAACACAACATGCAAAGACATTTGAATATGTGGAGGTTAAATAGCATGTTATTAAACAATGAATGGGTTACCAAGGAAATCAAGGAAGAAATTAAAAACTTCCTGGAAAGCAATGAAAACAAACACACAACAGCACAAAATCTATGGGATGCAGCTAAAGCAGTTCTGAGAGGGAAGTTCATAGCACTACAGGCCTACCTCAAGAAACAAGAAAAACTTCTAATTGACTGTCTAACCTTACAACTTAAATAAATAGAAAGCAAACAAAAAGAAAACCCCAGAGCAAGTAGAAGGAAGAAAATAGTAAAGATCAAAGCAGAAATAAATGACATAGAGACCAAAAAAACAATTCAAAAGATCAATGAAACAAAGAGCTGGTTTTTCGAAAAGATAAACCAGATTGATGGACCCTTAGCTAGACTCACCAAGAAACAAAGAGAGAGAACCCAAATGCACAAAATCAGAAATGAAAGAGGAGAAGTAACACCCGACACCACAGAAATACAAAAGATCTTTAACAGCTACTGTGAACAACTATATGGCAACAAATTCGACAATCTAAGCGAAATGGACAAATTTCTAGAAACACACAGTCTCCCAAAACTGGACCTGGAAGAGATAGAAAACTTGATCAGACCAATAACAACTAAGGAAATTGAACAGGTAATCAAGACTCTCCTGGGAAACAAAAGCCCAGGCCCCGATGGCTTCACGGGGGAGTTTACCAAACATTTAAAAAAGAACTAACACCCATTCTCCTCAAACTATTTCAAAAAATTCAAGAAGAAGGAAGACTTCCAAACTTGTTCTATGAGGCCTGCATAATTCTAATTCCAAAACCAGAATAAGATACTACAAAGAAAGAAAACTGCAGGCCAATATCCCTGATGAACACAGAGGCCAAAATCCTGCACAAAATACTAGCAAATTGGATCCAGCAATACGTCAAAAAAATTATTCACCATGACCAAGTGGGAATTATTTCAGGGATGCAAGGCTGGTACAATATTAGCAAATCAATAAATGTGATACACCACATAAACAAAATGAAGAATAAAAACCACATGATCATATCAATAGATGCTGAAAAAGCATTTGACAAAATCCAGCATCCATTTCTGATAAAAATGCTCAGCAATGTGGGAATAGAGGGATCATATCTTGACATAATAAAGACCATATATGAAAGACCTACAGCCAACATCATATTTAATGGGCAGAAACTAAAAACATTTCCATTAAGAACAGGAACAAGACAGGAATGTCCACTTTCGCCACTCTTATTTAACATAGTACTGGAAGTCTTAGCCACAGCAATCAGACATGAAGAAAAAATAAAAGGGATCCAAATTGGAAAGGAGGAAGTGAAACTGTCATTATTTGCAGATGACATGATATTATACATAGAAAACCCTAAAGACTCCATCAAAAATCTGCAAGACTTAATAAATGAATTTGGCAAAGTAGCAGGATACAAAATTAACGTCAAGAAATCGACGGCATTCTTATACACCAATGATGAACTCACAGAAAGAGAAACTGAAAAAAAATCCCATTTACCATCGCGGCAAAAAAATTAAGATATCTAGGAATAATCTTAAAGAAGTAAAGGACCTATTTGCAGAAAACTATAGGACACTGAAAAAAGAAATACAGCCCTGGCCGGTTTGGCTCAGCGGTTAGAGTGTCGGCCTGCGGTCCTGAGAGACCCGGGTTCGGTTCCCGCTAAGGGCGCGTACCTCGGTTGCAGTTTGTCCCCGGCCCTGGTCGGTTGTGCGGGTGGCAGCCACTCGATGTGTTCCTTTCATGTCGATGTTTCTCTCTCTCTCTCTGTTCCTCTTTCTCCCTCCCCCTCTACCTGAACAAAAAATGGAAAAATGTCCTCGGGTGAGGTTAAAAAAAAAAAAAAGAAGAAAGAAGAAAAAAGAAATAGAGGAAGATATAAAAAAGTGGAAGCACATAACTTGTTCATGTATTGGAAGAATTAACATCATTAAAATGTCCATACTACCCAAAGCAATCTATAGATTCAGTGCAATCCCCATGAAAACACCAATGACATATTTCACAGAACTAGAACAAATACTTCAAAAGTTCATATGGAACCAAAAAAGTCCCCGAATAGCCACAGCAATTTTGAAAAAGAAGGACCAAGTAGGTGGGATCACAATACCAGATATCAGGTTATACTACAAATCGACTGTAATCAAAACAGCCTGGTACTGGCACAAGAACAGGCATATAGACCAGTGGAACAGAGCTGAGAACCCAGAAATGGACCCAAGGCAATATGCTCAATTAATATTTGACAAAGGTGGCAAGAGCATACAGTGGGGTAAAGACAGCCTCTTTAATAAATGGTGTTGGGAAAATTGGACAGCTACATGCAAAAAAATGAAACTAGACCATCAACTTACACCATACACAAAAATAAATTCAAAATGGATAAAAGACTTAAATGTGACCCGTGAATCCATAAAAATTCTAGAAGAAAATGTAGGCATCAAAATTTCGGACATCATACGCAGTAGAATTTTCACTGATACATCACCTAAGGCAACAGAAACAAAGGACAAAATGAACACATTGGATTACATTAAACTCAAAGCTTCTGCACAGCAAAAGAAACAATCATCAAAATGGAAAGGCTACCCACTGTATGGGAGAACATCATTGCCAATGATATATCAGATAAGGGGTTAATGTCCAATATATATAGAGTACTCATACAACTCAACAAAAGGAAGACAAAGAACCCAATTAAAAAATGGGCAGAGGAGCTGAATGGACACCTCTCCAAACAGGACATACAAATGGCCAAGAGACATATGACGAAATGCTCAACATCACTAATCATCAGAGAGATGCAAATTAAAACAACAATGAGGTATCACCTCACACCTGTCAGAATGGCCGCTATCAACAAATCATCAAACAACAAGTGCTGGCAAGGGTGTGGAGAAAAGGGGACTCTAATACACTGCTGGTGGGAATGCAGACTGGTGCAGCCACTATGGAAAACAATATGGTGTTACCTCAAAAAAATTAAAAATTGAACTTCCATTTGACCCAATGATCCCACTTCTAGGAATATACCCTAAGAAGCCTGAAACACCAATTAGGAAGAATATATGTACCCCCATGTTCAAAGCAGCATTATTTACAATAGCTAAGATCTGGAAACAGCCCAAATGTCCATCAGTAGACAAATGGATAAAAAAGCAGTGGTACATATACACAATGGAGTACTATGCAGCTGTAAGAAAAAAATATCTCTTATCCTTTGAAACAACATGGAGGGACCTGGAAAGTATTATCCTAAGAGAAAGAAGCCAAGCAGAAAAAGACAAATACCACATGATCTCACTTATATACAGAATATAATGAACATAACAGTCTGAGGAATACGGTAGACCCAGAAACATGGAAGTAGGGCACAGACTGACATCCCTCAGAAGAGGAGGTGGGGGGTGGGAAGAGATAAACCACAGAACTTATATGCATGTGTGCATAACCAATGGACATGGACAACTAAGCCGGGGATGGGGCGGGGGGGATGGGGAGGGGAGTGCCAATGGGGTAAAAAAGGAGAAACATCTGTAACAAAAAAAAATAAAAAATTAAAAAAAAAACTATACACATAAGAAATAAAATAAAAACTATACGTCAGTGATATATAAGAAATAAAACTTAAATTTCAATAAAAAAAAGAAATCGTGGCAATGAGAACTGGGCATATCTGAGAGTCCGGGTGGACGGGGCACAGACACCAGCGCGGCAGCACAGGGCCCCTGCAGTCCTCTGCACTGACCTTGCTCTCCTTGTCCCCCAGATTGGGCTCTTCATCAGCTATGACAATGCCACCAAGCAGCTGGACACAGTCTATGACATCACGCCTGAACAGGCCCAGGCATTTCTGGAGAGGATCGGCTCCTCCGACTTTGACATGAGGAATACCTCTACCATCCACAGGCAAGGGGCCCGGGCTCTGGGCCCCCCGAGTTGCTTCCCAACAAGCGATCTAGGCATCAGGTTCCCTGAGCATCCCGGGAGGGAAGGGAAATGACTGTCCATGAATAGTCTGTGCATTTGAGGGGAGGTGTTTCCCTAAAGAGACCCCTCTAAGGAGGTTCTGGGGTGGGGGAAGGGAACTGCTGCTTCTGAGCATCTCCTATGTGCCAGGCATTTTATACAACTTTATCAGGTGCTGAGGTTTAGATGCTCAGTGCTCTGTCCATTCCAAGGTAAGTGTATAATTCCCCTTAGGTCGGGTCGAGTGTTGGAAATAGTTCATGCATTCCCATATCAGTGGATCCCTTGGTATGTAGACTCTCAGGTGGGTTATCCAGACCCAGAAGTCAGCTCTAGACTGACTTATCGTTAAAATGATTCTCCAGGAACCGTTTCCAGCAGCAGAGGGCCAGGCGCTGTGACCCCAGAAAAGGTTTGAACGTTAGGGGGATGGAGTGTGTGGTGGGGAGCAGAGGGGGGCACTGTTCAGCCACCTCCTCATCTCCCAGGGCCTTACAGTGCTTCCTCTGACATCACTGTGCTACTGTAATTATTTTCAAACTCACTTGTAGAGAATGTTCTTTTTTTTTTTTTTTATCCTCACCCGAGGACATTTTTGCATTTATCCTCAGACAGAGCCGGAGGGAGAGAGGGAGGAAGAGAGAGAGAGAAACATCAATGTGAGAGAGACACATTGAGTGGTCACCACCCACACGACCCCAACAGATGCCGGGGACGAACTGCACCCGAGGTACATGCCCTTAGTGGGAACCGAACCTGGGACTCTCTGGTCCGCAGGCCGGCGCTCCAACTGCTGAGCCAAACCAGCCAGGGCGAGAATGTTCTTATATAAAAGGGTGACTCCTTTTTCCTCCATCCCTAGTGATTTTCACCCATTAGCCTGGGTCCTGCAGTTCTGTGGTTACACAAAAAATAGCTTAGTGGGACCTGGAGCCACACTTCCTGTGTTTGAGCCTGGCTCTGCAAATTATGAGTTGTGTGATGCTGGCCATGTTAACGCCTCTTGCTGTGCCTCTGTTTCTCCACCTGTGAAAAGGGAGACATGAGCTGCCTTCCTCGCTAAAGTCCTTGTAAGGACCGCACACACCTGACACACAGTTAAGTGCTCGAGAAACATTAGTTATTCTTAATGTGCTTCTTCATAGTCTTTCCTCCCCTGCCATCTTTCTCATTAGACAATTTCAGATCCTGTCCCTGATATGGTCGCTCTCCTGTGGACATGCTGGAGCATGTCAATATCTTCCTGAGAGGGCGGAGCCAGGTTGAGCATGGCCAACTGGGGGGTCCAGCCATGCTAAGGAGAGGAGATAGCATAATGCTGAGAGCATCCCTGGATGAGTGTGTGCTCAGCATCGGCCGGGAAGCATGTTGCTCATTCAGTATGCATATTCTGGTTCCACTCACTGTGCTCCTCACGCCTACATGTGTCATATGTATCATGATGTGCTCTCATGAACAATCAACCTCTCCTGTATTAAGGGCTCACGGCGGCCGGGCCACCCTGAACAGACTGCACGCCCGTGCGCAGCGGCCGTGCAGGGAAGTTAAGTAACTGGAGATCTCTCAGAGCTGGCCCCAAACCCCAGGTGGCCTGAAGCTGCGCTCTTAGCCACTGGGTATAGTGCTCCCAGGGTTCAAATCCCACTTCTGCCCAACACTGTTCTGTCTCCGTCTTTTTCTTTCCTTTTGAAGTTGTAATCAGGAGGTACAGGTTGCAAAGCATCCTGGAAATGAATCTGTGCCCAGAGACTCCCTTGGTGGACCACACCTTATATGCAGGTGGAAATGGGCATTTCTGTGGCCAGCTCAGCACCGTGCTTCTCTCGAGCCCCTGACCGCCCAGGAGAGATGACAGAGCTGGACGGCTTGAGCTCCGGGTCCAGCTCCGCTGCTTGTCTTGCCCAGGTCCCTGCGCTCTGCAAACACCGTCTCCTCCAACAGGCTGGGGCTGCTCGTCTGCTTCTATGAGGACCTGGAGCTGCTGGACGCCGCCCTGGCCCACGTGCTCCTTCACCAGATGATCAAGTGCAGCCGTCTCAGGGGCTTCCAGGCCGGCGTTCAGAAGGTGCAGAAGGGACGCACAGCCTGGGCCGCGGCCTCACTTTTACTACCCTGAGAAATGGGGAATCTTGTCTGGCCTTTGAGAGAAGCATGTAGGGTTAATCAGGGTCCAGGCCCGGCCAGAGTAGATGGTATCTCAAACACATGAGCGAAAAACGGGGAGAAGCAACACCAAACAGTGTCGGGAAAAGTTCGATGAGACCAAAGTTCTGTCAGAGCAGCCACCTCGAACTTACAGGGGCAGCAGCAGCTTCGAGTCCGTCCGCAGGTCCGATGGGGCCCGAGGCTGCGTCTCGAAGGCGCTCCCAGGTGGTGCGGAGGCTGCTGGCGGAAGACCGGCCGGAGGAGCAGCCTCCTGCCGCCCGCGGACGCGGAGGCTGAGCTGGGGAGGAAGCGCTGAATCCGGAGAACCGGGAGCTGGGACCCTGGTTTCTTCCGCTGCCCTCGGCTGCCCCCCAGTGCCCATTTCAGGACTGCCTGCAACGCTGGGTACACTCATCTGAAATGAGTACATGTCGTTCCTGTAAATTCAGGCGTTAAAACATGAACCCTGCTCGCTTTCATTCTTTTGTGCAGAGGTCATGTTACAAGATGGAAGGAATTGACTATAGCTAGACAGACATTTTAGAATAAAATAATTGTTAAGGTGATCACAGAAGCGTGAAAACTTGGAAGATATTTTAAGTAAAAAATTTAGAAAGCGCACTTTTGTTCATATTATGATTATGTAAAAATCATGTACTGTGGTTTATTGATAAAGGACATATTATAAAGGCATAAGCAGTCATAGAAGCCTATACACGCAATTACTGATCAATTATTTGTACGAGGGAGACTTACTTTTTGTTATCATTGGGAATTACTTTTATATAGACTGTATATTGTCATTAAAAACCCCTGGATATTTCATAAAAGGAGAACAGCCATATCTACAGCTGCAGAGTTCAAGGTCACAAAAGGAAAACAGATACTACGGGAGTGTGGCGGCGGTTATGGGTGAAGTTGACATGCTTCAAGGTTGATCTAGCAACAAATTAATATTTAAATGAAGCTCAGTCAGTTGTAGCGTATTCAGGTCAAGGCCAGAGAAGGCGGTGTTCTCAGGGGGAGACTCATTCTCAGGCAGAGACCCTCTCCCTTTGGCCAGGCAGGGTGGTGGAGGGTCATGGAGCCCTTGCACCCCAGGATGAAGGCAGGGGGAACCACCGTCCTACCTGCTGTCGACCCTCATCCCAGCTTCTCCCCCGCTAGCTCAAAGCCGACCTCCTGGACATCGCCACGGAGAACCAGACGCTCAACGAGACCCTGGGCTCTTTGTCGGACGCGGTTGTGGGCTTGACCCACAGGCAGCTGGGATCCCTCTCGCCCGAGGCTGTGCACGGCGCCATCTCCACCCTCAGCCAGGTGTCGGGCTGGACCAAGAGCCAGATCATCATCCTGTCTGCCAAGTGCTTGGCCCATGAGAAGGTCAGTGGAGCTCTGAGCGTTGGCGCCCTGCCCCCTCGGGCTCGCTCTGTGCACACAGCGGATAGTGCTGAGGGGGACTCCTGGGTTCACGTCCTCCTGCCATTTATTAGCTGGACATTTGTGACCTTGGACAATTGGCTTCATTTCTCTTGCCTCAGTTTCCCTATTTGTAAGATAAGAGGGGCAACGATAGCATCTGTTCCATAGGTGTCTGCAGGAGTTATGTCGTCAGCACACGGGAAGAGGTTGGGCACACATGACCCGGCGTGTGAGCGCGAGTGAGAGCCAAGCAGGGCAGTCACCCACACTGCACCTGAGACCAGGGACAGGGCTACTTTACCCAGTCTTGGGCTGCACAGAGGGAACTGTCCCCACGGAAGTCCTGTGAGAGGGCCCTGAGCAAGCAGGCTGTGAAGCCAGGCGCCCTGGCCGCCCCAGCTGTCTCCTGTGTGTGGCGATGCAGGGAGCACGTGTCTGGTTTAGGCTCCAGCTGCTCCGGGCGGGAAATGGGCCTTTTTCGCAGGGTATTAGTCTCTTCGCGCCGGGCCCGGTAGAAGGGGCTGCAGAGACACGAGCCCTAAACATGTTGGGTTCTGCTCCTCTAGTTCCCTCTCAAACCCATTCCCCAGAAGCCAGCTGGCCCATGAGGATTGGATTGGGACCAGACAGACATTTATTAAGCGCTCACTGTGCTAGGCTCGGCTCTAAGTGAGTTGATCACTGAGTCCTCCCGACAACCCTATGAGAGCAGCAGTTCTTTAACTCATTTTCCAGGTCGTTCGTGTCAGGCACAGAGCATAGAAGGGAGTTCGCGGTGTCACGTAAAAGGGCCGCAGTTGGGATTGAACCCAGGGCACCTGGCTTCAGAGCCTGCTTGCTGAACTCCCATGCTGACTGCAGCATCAGGGTGCCATGGCCGCTGCCCAGCCCACCCTCACTGACTCAGGCCAAGGCTCGCCCACTCGTCTGGCCTGTCCCCTCTAGCCTGGGGGTGACTTCAGTTGGAAGGCTTGGCAGCCCTTCCCTGCTTTGACTGGGCCACCTGAGTTCACCTGGCAACTTCTCTTCCAATTTGATTTTAGGGAGCTGAGGAGCCTGTCTCATTCCCCAGCCCTGCACAAAGTGGCTTATCTCTTCCCTAGCAGCCAACTCTTCCTACAAGGTGACTTTCACCAAGAAGCTAAGAGTTCGAAAGTCCTTGCTGCTTTCTTCTTCTTCTTCTCCTCCTCCTTCTCCTTCTCCTTCTCCTTCTCCTTCTCCTTCTCCTTCTCCTTCTCCTTCTCCTTTCTTCTTCTTCTTCTTGTTAATCTTCGCCTAAGGATATTTTTTTCATTGACTTTTAGAGAGAGTGCAAGGCAGGAAGGGAAGGACAGAGGGAGAGAGAGAAACATTGATGAGAGAGACACATCAATTGGTTGCCTCCCACACGTGCCCTGACTAGGGCCTGGGACTGAACCTGCAACCCAGGTACCTGCCCTTGACTGGGAATCAAACCAGCCACCCTTCAGTGAGCAGGCTGACGCTCTAACCACGGAGCCACACTGGCCAGGGTGGTCTTGCCTTCTCTGGGGACAGTAACTGACCACCCATTCTACAGAGTGGAACTGAAGGAAACCACTCCGCCATCTTTGTGTAGCACCAGCGGATGCCTCTGTGTCTGTGGAGAGCATCCAGACCCTCACACAGGGCGGAGGAGGGAACACACGTGATTCCTGATCGGGTGCCAGCTGCAATCGGAGTTGTGAGGACATATCAGACTCACATCCTGACACATCTTCACTTCAGCTCCGAGTTTCCACACGGGGCCAAGGAGCGTGGGCTTTGCTATGCCGGGGGCTTGGCAGGGGGCATGATGAGAAGGGAGGGCTCCGTAGGCACCGTGACGGGGTCGGGACTGGGTCAGCTGAGTGCCCAGGACCTGCCAAGGGGCAGCTGCTGGTCAGCTCTTACCTTGTTGCCAGTGTGGGCCCATGTTGCCTGGTGTTCAGATGAAAAAACAGGGACTCAGATCTGGATTTGTATGGGAGTTCCTCATATTTTGAATGTTGTCAGCTAGTTCAGATGAGACACAAAGCAGCCCTTTCCCCGGCTGAGGGTGGGTGGCCCCGGGTGGGTGCCCCCGGGTGGGTGTTGGTGCGGTGGTCGCAGCAGAGCCCTCCCCCGGGAGAGCTACCCCCTGTCATGTTTTGACGTTCAGCTCTCTTTCCTGAGGGCGGAAGGAAGGCCTGGGGGCAGCGTGCATCTGGCTCACGGGTGCCCCGGCGCCCACCCTGCTGCGGCCACGCAGGGGCCTGGGAAGTGCCGCGAGGTGACAGGCCTGTCCTCATGCAGGTGCTGTCCTTCCACAACATCAGCCAGATGGGTGTGCTGCTGGCTGGGGTCGGCACCCAGGCCTTCTACGGCATGGACCGCCGGGCCCTCACGCAGCTCCTGAGCGGCACCGGCTCCGCGCACGTGTCCGACCTGTCCCCGGCCCAGCAGCACGGCGTCCTCAGCAAGGTGAGGGGTGGCCGGCCCCGCCACGTGGCCACAGAGCGTGCGGTTGGGGGTTGGAGTGGGGACTAGCTCCGCCTTGGGTGAGGGTGTCGAGCCCGGGAACACCTTCCTTGGGTGCCCCCTCCCCTGCCTTCCACAAAGACCCTCGGCTCATGCCCTGGTTCTTCCCAGACCTGGCACCCTCCCCAGCAAATCTAATCTGGAACCCTTTTTCAGTCAGGTTTCTTGATGTAATAATATGTTAAAAGGTTTCTTTTCCCATCTGAAAATGAATTCCATGTTCCCGGGGCTTCCGAAAGCCCCGTCCATGGTTCAAAGGGACGCGGGGTCCTCCTCTTCACTGGGCAGTGGCCCTCTGTCCTGTTCTCTCAGACTCGCCCCTTCCAATCGCAACGTCTAAGAACCAAAGGACAGGTTTGGCCCAAAGTCAGCACCAGCAGGAGCACATGTGGTCACAGTGAAGAGCACAGGTTTTGAGAGGAGATGGACGTGAGCTTGAGTCTCACCCATCAAGCACAGTTTTCCCAGCTGTGAAAGAGGACCGTGGTGGTTGCCCCCTCAGGGGTTTGCGGACAGGTCTGCGGGACTCGGCCCGGGAAGCGCAGGGGCCCGGCCTTGTCACAGCTCCTGGCCGGCGGTGAGTCTCTCTCCCTCTCGGCAGATGATGGAGGCCGGACACGCCGCCGCAGGTGTTGTGGAAATACAAGGGGCGTTCTTCAAGGAAGTGTCCCTCTTCGACTTAAGGAGGGAACCCAGATTCAACTCCACCGTCCTAAAGGGGAAGGGGCTTCGGAGGAGTCAGGTATGACCACGCTGCTTCCCACACCAGCTCCGAGTGTGTGAGGGGTTCCCCACACCAGGGACGTGGCCAGTACTAACTGGGGGGTCCTACAGTTCAGCTCAGTCCTGACACACCTGCCTGGAGGAAGTGTCAGGTGGCACAGTTAAGAGCTCAGTCCCCCAGGACTGTCCCCCAGATGCCCACTGCCGGTGCCGGCTGTCCCCTGTGCATCTGACCGACTGGTCATAGATCGGAGGTTCCCGGCACACCCGGGGTTTGGTTAATTTGCTAGAACAGCTGCAGGGCTCAGAGAAACGTTTCACTCACCAGACCACTGGTTTATTAGGAAAGACTAGCTCGGGCGGGCCAGATGGGGACGACGCAGCGCAGGGTTGGGGAGCGAGTCCCCAGCTTCCCTGTCCTTCCAGGTCCCGGTCTCCCCGCTAGCCGTGCGCTCACCAGCCCGGTGGCTCTCAGAACCCTGTCCTCTGGGTTTATGGAGGCGTCATTGCCTGGGCATGATTGATGAACTCACTGGCCAAGGCGATTGATTGGACTTCCAGCCCCTCCCTCCTTGGAGGGCCGGGTTGGGCCTGCAAGTTCCCACCCTCTAATCACGTAGTTGGTTTCACTGGCCCATCCTGGCCTCCTCATCCGTCTCGTCACTCTTCCCTCCGGGGGTGTCATGTGTCCAGGATTGACCAGGTGGGCATGGAAATAGGGGCTTCGGAGGGTCCGCAACTGGGCAGCGGCTTCGGGAAGCACAGGAGGGAAACCTCCCGGCTTGCTCCTCGCTCACCTGGGCCCAGGGAGAGGCCGGGTGGGAGCCTGTGTGCTCTGCCCCGGCAGCCGTGTGGTCCTGGCCAGCGAGGGGCTGGCACGCCTGTTCTCCCATCTGTGGGATGGGATCGTGGTGTGCCTTCCCCACAGGGCTGCACAGTGCTGGGCACCACAGCTCTTCGTGGGGTGCTGCAGCCACGCTGGCCTCCGTTCTCCCACAGGCCTTGTTCCTGTACGAGCTCCTGTCTGCGACCACCAGAAGGCCGGCCGAGCTCCTGAGGTAGGACAGGCAGCTCGCTGGGGCGGCCGGCGCTCGGGCCTGATTTCCCAGCAGGGGGCGGGCAGTCCCTCTGTAGCCTGTGCCAGGTCAGCTCTGCCCTCTCTCTCCTCTCCTGGCTGACCGGCCCCGGTCCTGTTTTCTAGTGCCGGGCAGCTGGTCAAAGGTGTGACGTGTTCCCACATCAATGCCCTGAGCGCCGACTCCTTCCTGGCCCATTTCCAGTATTTCGAGAACAACCTCTCGCTGCTGTCACCTTATCAGGTACTTTCCTGCTTCCGTGCCCCTCCTCCGACCCTGGGAGCTGACCCTGCACTGCCTGTGCTTCAAATATGTATGCCAGGGTCGTTCTGACGCAAGCCGAGATGCGGGCTGGGTACGGGGCGGGCTGCCTCCGGTCCTCCCTCACACGCTCCCAGTACCCAGGCCCCACGGCCACTCCCACAGGCTGGTCATCCCAGGTCCCCACGGCCGCTGCCACGGGCTGGTCATCCCAGGCCCCCACGGCCGCTGCCACGGGCTGGTCATCCCAGGCCCCCACGGCCGCTGCCACGGGCTGGTCATCCCAGGTCCCCACGGCCGCTGCCACGGGCTGGTCATCCCAGGCCCCCACGGCCGCTGCCACGGGCTGGTCATCCCAGGTCCCCACGGCCGCTGCCACGGGCTGGTCATCCCAGGTCCCCACGGCCGCTGCCACGGGCTGGTCATCCCAGGTCCCCACGGCCGCTGCCACGGGCTGGTCATCCCAGGCCCCCACGGCCGCTGCCACGGGCTGGTCATCCCAGGTCCCCACGGCCGCTGCCACGGGCTGGTCATCCCAGGCCCCCACGGCCGCTGCCACGGGCTGGTCATCCCAGGCCCCCACGGCCGCTGCCACGGGCTGGTCATCCCAGGCCCCCACGGCCGCTGCCACAGGCTGGTCATTCCAGACTGATTTGAGCTTCAAGTGCAGAGGAAGGTACGCTGTTCTGCATGTTCCCAGTCCTGTCCCCGAGACTGAAGACCTTCCCGCCCTCTGGCACCCTCATCCTGGCGAGGGGTAGCCGGGCACAAAACGCTGCTCTAAGAGTGTTTTCTTTTTCACTGAAACTTCGTTTTCCCAGTGGTTGAGGACACCCCTGAGCACTGGGGGCCAGTGGGTGCCGAGTGTCTGTGGCTGGAGGAGCTGGTCCCAGAGCTCTGCTGTGTGACCCGCACCTGCGGCCAGTGACATGCTTTCGTGCCCTGCAGATCTGCGGGGGGAGCTCTCATGCTACATGCCCTTCTCACAAAAGCAAAAGGACACAAGGACACTTTGGGAGGTGCGGGGCCTGTCTATGACCTTGACTGAAGTCATGGTTTCATAGGTGTTTGCATACGTCCAGACTCATCAAATTGTACACATTAAACATAGTGTAGTTCTTTGCATACAATTATACCTCAATAAAAGTGTTAAAAATCCAGATTGCAGACTTTCTCTCAGAGTGGGTCTGGGTGACACCCCATGGTTCACATTTCTAACCAATTCCCTGGTGAGAACCGTTGATGGGATGGAAAGCCTGGCCGGGTGGAGGGGTGGGTGGGGTCAGAGCTGCCCCGAGGAACACCTGCACGTCCCAGCAGAGCTGGTGCCCCGACAAAGCTCCCTGCCTGGGCTCCACCAGCCCTTAGAACTGCCACATACTAGTTAATTGGAAAAGTTGCCCTTTTAAAAATACTTCTGCTGAAAACACATGGTTATTGTATAAAAAATAGAAAGTAAAATTTCCCCTAGAACAGTGGTTCTCAACAGGGGGCCCTTTGGCCATCTCTGAAGACACGTTTGGCTGTTACACTCGAGGGAGATGCTTCCGCATGTAGTGTGTGGAGTTGGGGCGCTGCTCCGCACCCCGGAACGCAGACAGCCCGCAGCAGGGCGTGCCCGCCCGAACGCCAGCAGTGCCCAGGCACCTGCTCCAGGGGCAGCCCCGGAGGCTCGGCCTCCACCTTGAGAGTGTCTGGGTATACGACATGTTTACGTGTAACTCAAACAGCACAGGTGAGCTCATGCTGTGTACACTGTTCTGTTTAGCTTTACATACAACACGTGTACACATGTGAACTAGGCATGGCCACCACTCCATAGTAAGTGTGTACATCTGCCACGTGGAGACAAGGTAGCTGCATAGTGACCACTGTTGTTCACTTAACCATCCCCTCTGACAGCGTCATGGTGACATCTGGGGTCATTGCCGTCACGAACCAGCTGTGGTGAGCGTTCTCACACTAACTTTGGGTTCGTCTTGTTGCCTCAGTTTCCTCACGCATAAACGGGGTGCCCTGGCGGCACCCCACCCGAGGGCGTTCTGTTCCGTGAGCAAGCGCGGGAGGTGCTTGGGAGGTGCTGGCCCCGAGAGAACCGGTTCACGCTGCGGCCTAGTTCACCGAGTGCTTAGACCTCTCTTCCTCTCCAGGTTAACTGTTTGGCGTGGAAGTACTGGGAGGTCTCCAGGTCCTTCATGCGGCCCTTCCTCTTGGCTGCCCTCCCGTAAGTAAGCGTGGGCCCCCTTCCTGGCTCAGCAGTAAGATTGGGGGGACTCACCCCAGGTCTTTGTGAGGAACCAGAGGCAGCGTGGACAGTGAACCCTGAGAACCGGGATTTAAGTGCTGAGCTCCACTTAGCTCTTTCAGACCCTGCTCTTTCTTGTTATTCAAAAGCCAAAGCCAAAGCCGCCCAGGCCTGTGAAGTGGGCCTTGCGGGCTGGCCTCCCTGCGGGCTGGCCTCCCTGCCGGGCTGGCCTCCCTGCGGGCCCACGCCCCGGGGGAACCAGGGCCGAGGTGAGCTCTGGGATTTTTCCTGGTATGTGTGGGCACTCAGGCCTGGGGGGCAGCCCTACTTTTAAAATATGGTCTGAACACGGTTTCCCTCTTCCTCCTCTTGCTGTTATTGTCTTCATTCATTCAAAAAATATTTATCAAGTGCTTACTATGTACCAGTCCTTTGAGATAACTAAGTTTTCCCCTTATAAGAGCTAATAAACTCTTAGGGGGAAGTAGACAAGCATAAAGCCAAGTATAATATCAAACTGATATTTAGTTGAAAGTGACAGAATCTTAATTCACACTGGCTTAGGCAATAAAAGGCAAATTTGGATTTAGGTAACTGGAAAGTCCAGGGATGAATTTCAGGCATGGCTGGATCCAGGGGCTAAAATGATGTCATCTGCCTCAGCCCAGCTTTCCCCTGGAGGCTTCTCTGTCGGGCAGATTCTTTCTCTGTGCTGGCCCCGACAGATCCAAGGTTACATCTTTGTAGTTTCATATTCGGAGAAAAGACTTTCTCTTCCCGTTCTTCTCAGTAAGTCTTGCGTTTGACTCCCGTTGGCCCACATTGAGCCAGTTTGCTCTCCTTGACCAATCCCTGGGGTTGGGCAGGGGGTAGCTTTGCCTGGCTGGCTGTGAACTGGGCTCCACCCGAAGCACAGTGACTTACAGTGAGGGGTAACAGAAAGCCGGGTCTGTTACCATGGGGATGAGTACTGGACCCTGGGAGCAGAGGAGGGATACCTTCTTCAGACTGGAGAGTCAGGCAAGACTAACTAAACTTGAAGAATGAGGTGGGTGAGAGAGTTCAAGGGGGTCCCTCCAGGCAGGGCCACAAGGGACGTCTGTCCAGCAGTGCTAAGTACAGTGAAGTGCTCGGGGACGCAGGGTGTGCCCCTGGGTGTAGTTGTCAGGCCAGCGAGGCCCGTGCTGGGCACAGCCCTCAGGTTCACCTTTCAGAAAGGTCATCGCCACTGCGTGACAGGGTGCAGGGGCCCGGGGAGGGAGGGTGCCGTGACCTCGGCATGGTGTCTCCTTCCCTTATCCATGTCTCAGCTCAAGTGGTGCTGCCTTAGAGGGGCTCTCCTGGCGGTCCCCACCGTCGCATTACAGCCATCTTATTTTCTTCCCTACGTGTCTCAGTAGCTGAAACGACTGTTTTATCCACTGGTTTCAGCGTCCCCCTGGAAGGGAGCCTCCTGAGAGCAGGGACTGCCCCTCGTGTCTGTTCACAGCTGTAGCTGGAGTCCAGCACGGTGCCTGGCACACAGTAGAGGCTCCGCAGGTGCCGCTGAGTGAGTGAAGGAATAAATGAAGAAACAAGGCAGTGGTCCTGGGAATGGAGAGACAAGAAGAGATTTAGTTGCATAAGGACACAGCAGTGATGTTGGGGCAAAGGGAGGAGGAGTCTGGTGTGGCAAAGAGGAAGAAGAGGATGTTCTGCTCGGTTTTGGAACAGTCACGGGTGATGAGGGAGGACAGGGTCTAGAGCAGTCTTTCTTTTCAATTTTTTTTTTTATCCTCACCCGAGGATATTTTTCCATCCTTTGTTCTGATAGAGCGGGAGGGAGAGAGAGGAAGAGAGAGAGAGAGAAACATCGATGTGAAAGGGACACATCGAGTGGCTGCCACCCGCACGACCAACCAGGGCCAGGGACAAACTGCAACCGAGGTAGGTGCCCTTAGCGGGAACCGAACCCGGGTCTCTCTGTACCGCAGGCCGACACTCTAACCGCTGAGCCAAACCGGCCAGGGCTAGAGCAGTCTTTCTTAATCTCGTTTCATGATCGCTTCCCTAGGAGAAGACTTTCATTTCTCCCTAGTGAGAGAAACGACAGGGAACAATTTTGTTGGTGGGTCACAAATAATTGTAATAACGTTATTTTCATTCCCTCCCTTCCTCCCCAAACCAGTTTCTTTCCCCTTGGGGGTGATGTTGCACCTGTTGAGAACACACAGCCAGGAGCTAGGGGGCAGTGCTGCACCAGAGATGAGGGGAGGGCGGCACTTCTGCTGCTCTCCTCACTCTCCTATGCTTCCGTCCTTCCCCTTTCTATTTCATTACCGCTCCTCTTTGTCCCGCCTTCTTCTCTGTGTCTTGGCCTTGTCTCCTTGTCTCTCCTCGACCGATCTATCAGTCAACTTATGTTTATGATGATACTATTCTGGGATAATTGCTGCTAAAGCATAGTGACAGGAAGTTCGCTTCCCATCCATAGGAGAGGAGCCTGATGGGAAGTTCGGTTCCCATCCATAGAGAGGAGCCCAATGGGAAGTTCAGTTCCCATCCATAGAGAGGAGCCCGATGGGAAGTTCGGTTCCCATCCATAGAGAGGAGCCCGATGGGAAGTTCGGTTCCCATCCATAGAGAGGAGCCCGATGGGAAGTTCGGTTCACATCCATAGAGAGGAGCGCGATGGGAAGTTCGGTTCCCATGACAGGAGAGGAGCCCGATGGGAAGTTCGGCTCCCATCCATAGAGAGGAGCCCGATGGGAAGTTCGGCTCCCATCCACAGGAGAGGAGCCCGATGGGAAGTTCGGTTCCCATCAATAGAGAGGAGCCCGATGGGAAGTTCGGTTCCCATGAACAGGAGAGGAGCCCGATGGGAAGTTCGGTTCCCATCCACAGGAGAGGAGCCCGAAGGGAAGTTCGGTTCCCATGAACAGGAGAGGAGCCCGATGGGAAGTTCGGTTCCCATCCACAGGAGAGGAGACCGATGGGAAGTTCGGTTCCCATCCATAGGAGAGGAGCCCGATGGGAAGTTCGGTTCCCGTCCATAGAGAGGAGCCCGATGGGAAGTTCGGTTCCCATGAACAGGAGAGGAGCCCGATGGGAAGTTCGGTTCCCATGAACAGGAGAGGAGCCCGATGGGAAGTTCGGTTCCCATCCATAGGAGAGGAGCCCGATGGGAAGTTCGGTTCCCGTCCATAGAGAGGAGCCCGATGGGAAGTTCGGTTCCCATCCACAGGAGAGGAGCCCGAAGGGAAGTTCGGTTCCCATGAACAGGAGAGGAGCCCGATGGGAAGTTCGGTTCCCATGAACAGGAGAGGAGCCCGATGGGAAGTTCGGTTCCCATCCATAGGAGAGGAGCATGATGAGAAGTTCGGATCCCATCCACAGGAGAGGAGCCCGATGGGAAGTTCGGTTCCCATCCACAGGAGAGGAGCCCGAAGGGAAGTTCGGTTCCCATGAACAGGAGAGGAGCCCGATGGGAAGTTCGGTTCCCGTCCACAGGAGAGGAGCCCGATGGGAAGTTCGGTTCCCATCAATAGAGAGGAGCCCGATGGGAAGTTCGGTTCCCATGAACAGGAGAGGAGCCCGATGGGAAGTTCGGTTCCCATCCACAGGAGAGGAGCCCGAAGGGAAGTTCGGTTCCCATGAACAGGAGAGGAGCCCGATGGGAAGTTCGGTTCCCATCCATAGGAGAGGAGCCCGATGGGAAGTTCGGTTCCCATCCATAGGAGAGGAGCATGATGAGAAGTTCGGATCCCATCCACAGGAGAGGGGACCGATGGGAAGTTCGGTTCCCATCCATAGGAGAGGAGCCCGATGGGAAGTTCGGTTCCCGTCCATAGAGAGGAGCCCGATGGGAAGTTCGGTTCCCATGAACAGGAGAGGAGCCCGATGGGAAGTTCGGTTCCCATGAACAGGAGAGGAGCCCGATGGGAAGTTCGGTTCCCATGAACAGGAGAGGAGCCCGATGGGAAGTTCGGTTCCCATCCATAGGAGAGGAGCCCGATGGGAAGTTCGGTTCCCATCCATAGAGAGGAGCCCTATGGGAAGTTCGGTTCCCATCCATACAGAGGAGCATGATGGGAAGTTCGGATCCCATCCACAGGAGAGGAGACCGATGGGAAGTTTGGTTCCCATCCATAGGAGAGGAGCCCGATGGGAAGTTCGGTTCCCATCCATAGGAGAGGAGCCCGATGGGAAGTTCGGTTCCCATCCATAGGAGAGGAGCCCGATGGGAAGTTCGGTTCCCATCCATAGGAGAGGAGCCCGATGGGAAATTCGGTTCCCATCCATACAGAGGAGCATGATGGGAAGTTCGGATCCCATCCACAGGAGAGGAGACCGATGGGAAGTTTGGTTCCCATCCATAGGAGAGGAGCCCTATGGGAAGTTCGGCTCCCGTCCATAGGAGAGGAGCCCGATGGGAAGTTCGGTTCCCATCCACAGGAGAGGAGCCTGATGGGAAGTTTGGTTCCCATCCATAGAGAGGACCCTATGGGAAGTTCGGCTCCCATCCATAGGAGAGGAGACCGATGGGAAGTTCGGTTCCCATCCATAGGAGAGGAGCCCGATGGGAAGATCGGTTCCCATCCATAGGAGAGGAGCCCGATGGGAAGTTCGGCTCCCATCCACAGGAGAGGAGCAGGTTGGGAAGTTCGGCCCCCATCCGTAGGAGAGGAGCCTGATGGGAAGTTCGGTTCCCATCCATAAGAGAGGAGCATGATGGGAAGTTCGGCTCCCATCCACAGGAGAGGAGCCCGATGGGAAGTTCGGTTCCCATCCATAGGAGAGGAGCCCGATGGGAAGTTCGGTTCCCATCCATAGGAGAGGAGCCCGATGGGAAATTCGGTTCCCATCCATAGAGAGGAGCATGATAGGAAGTTCGGCCCCTTCCGTAGGAGAGGAGCCTGATTGGAAGTTCGGTTCCCATCCACAGGAGAGGAGCCCTATGGGAAGTTCGGTTCCCATGAACAGGAGAGGAGCCCTATGGGAAGTTCGGCTCCCATCCATAGGAGAGTAGCCCGATGGGAAGTTCGGTTCCCGTCCATAGGAGAGGAGCCCGATGGGAAGTTCGGTTCCCATCCACAGGAGAGGAGCCTGATGGGAAGTTTGGTTCCCATCCATAGAGAGGACCCTATGGGAAGTTCGGCTCCCATCCATAGGAGAGGAGACCGATGGGAAGTTCGGTTCCCATCCATAGGAGAGGAGCCCGATGGGAAGATCGGTTCCCATCCATAGGAGAGGAGCCCGATGGGAAGTTCGGCTCCCATCCACAGGAGAGGAGCAGGTTGGGAAGTTCGGCCCCCATCCGTAGGAGAGGAGCCTGATGGGAAGTTCGGTTCCCATCCATAAGAGAGGAGCATGATGGGAAGTTCGGCTCCCATCCACAGGAGAGGAGCCCGATGGGAAGTTCGGTTCCCATCCATAGGAGAGGAGCCCGATGGGAAGTTCGGTTCCCATCCATAGGAGAGGAGCCCGATGGGAAATTCGGTTCCCATCCATAGAGAGGAGCATGATAGGAAGTTCGGCCCCTTCCGTAGGAGAGGAGCCTGATTGGAAGTTCGGTTCCCATCCACAGGAGAGGAGCCCTATGGGAAGTTCGGTTCCCATGAACAGGAGAGGAGCCCTATGGGAAGTTCGGCTCCCATCCATAGGAGAGTAGCCCGATGGGAAGTTCGGTTCCCGTCCATAGGAGAGGAGCCCGATGGGAAGTTCGGTTCCCATCCACAGGAGAGGAGCCTGATGGGAAGTTTGGTTCCCATCCATAGAGAGGACCCTATGGGAAGTTCGGCTCCCATCCATAGGAGAGGAGCCCGATGGGAAGTTCGGTTCCCATCCATAGGAGAGGAGCCCGATGGGAAGATCGGTTCCCATCCATAGGAGAGGAGCCCGATGGGAAGTTCGGCTCCCATCCACAGGAGAGGAGCAGGTTGGGAAGTTTGGTTCCCATCCATAGAGAGGAGCCCGATGGGGAGTTCGGCTCCCATCCATAGAGAGGAGCATGATGGATGAGAGGCTTACTACCTTCCCAGAGACTCACAACATCACTGGGAGCGCAGATTTTTAAAGAGAACCCCTGGGAAAGCTCTTGGGCATGCAGACCCTGATTTTGGGGGCAAGCCAGAGCAGCCATTGTCTTCCTTCCCTGGTCTCCCTATCTTTCTCCAGGGCTCGCTACCTGGCTGCGGTCCCAGCCTCCCGATGTGTGCCGGTTCTGATCAGCCTGGGGAAGACTCAGCTGGACTCCTTGGTCTTAGATCCCCACAAAAAGAGTCTGGTCCTCAGGAAGGTGCAGCAATGCCTGGTAAGGAGCCTTCCTGAGTGACCTCTCACTATGTCCCTTCCCCTCTGTGTTTCTGTGGTCTTCCGGGGAGGCCTCAGGGGACCTGGCTGGGATCTCAAGCCTGCTGTGGGTCTCAAAGCTGGTTTGGAAGCCACTGGGTGGGGCCATCTTGGCCACTGGTTCTGGAGACTGCCATTTGGGGCTCAAATGAGGGGAACCCCTCTGGGAGCCTGGGAAGAACACAGTACACAGAGTCTGGGTTCCAGACTTGCCTCTGCTGGTGACTGGTTATGTGACTGTGGGAACGTCACTTTCCTTCCCTGAGCTTCAGTCCCTCATCTGCAAGATGGGTACAAGAGCACTACCCTCAGAGTTATCGAGGGTGTGAAACAGGCAAGGGGTTGTTTAATGCCAAGGCCCAAAGGAAGACTGCCCTCGTGTGAACCTCGGCCTTGCCACCAGCTGCCATTTCCTTTATCTTTAAAAGGGATGACATTAGGACTTACCTCTTGCAGTTGCTTTGGAGATGGATGACAGATCAAGGCCTGCCAACACTTAGCACGGTGCCCGGCACACAGTACGCACTCAATAAATGCCAGCCCTTTTCGTCACGTTGAGAGAGAGCGCTGAAGACTTGCAAGGCCACACAAGCTTTCGGGGATGCTTTTGTTGTTTGTGTGCTATTGCTCTAATAGTTGTTGAACCAGGGGTCTCAGAGCAGTGACAACAATGACAGCCCTCATTCACCATGTGCTCATCTCGTGCCAGCCTCTGTCCACACTCGCTCCCGGGGGTCTCCCCAGAGGTCAGCTTAGGTCTTCCTGGGATAAGATCAGGCCCCATGCTCTCCTTACTAGGCCATGGGAGGGCAGGATATACAGATCGCAGAATTTTTATGAGGTTTAGGGATGGGAAGTATTTTTTTTCTTTAATCCTCACTTGAGGATATCTTGCCATTTATCTTCAGATAGAATGAGAGGGAGAGGGGGAAGAGAGAGAGAGACATTGATGTGAGAGAGACACATCAATTGGTTGCCTTCTGCATGACCCTGACCAAGGCTGGGGACCGAACTGCAACCAAGGTATGTGGCCTTGACCGGAATCAAACCCATGATTCTTTGGTCCATGGGCTGATGCTCTAACCACTGAGTCAAACCAGCCAGGGCAGTATTTTTTATTTTTTATTTTTTATCCTCACCCGAGGATATTTTTCCATTTTTTGTACAGATAGAGTGGGAGGGAGAGAAAGGAAGGGAGAGAGAGAGAGAAACATCGACGTGAAGGGACACATCGAGTGGCTGCCACCCGCACGACCAACCAGGGCCGGGGACAAACTGCAACCGAAGTACGTGCCCTTAGCGGGAACCGAACCCGGGTCTCTATGGACCACAGGCCGATGCTCTAACCGCTGAGCCAAACTGGCCAGGGCCAGGGCAGTATTTTTTAAAAAAATTTATTTTATCGCCCAGCTGGTGTTGCTCAGTGGTTCAGCACTGACCCATGCACCAAGAAGTCACCGGTTCCATTCCCGGCCAGGGCACATGCCCAGGTTGTGGGCCTGATTCCCAGTGGGGGGCATGCAGGGAGCAGCTGATCTATGTTCTCTCTTATCGATGTTTCTATCTCTTTCTCCCTCTCCCTTCCTCTCTCTAAAATCAATAAAGAAAAAAAATTATTTTATCATTGAGAGTATTAGAGATGTCCGTCATCTCCCCCTTTGACACCCTCCACCTGTCTCCCACCTTACCCCCGGCCTTCACCTGTCTGTTGTCTGTATCCATGGACTGTGCATATATGTATGTAAGTTCTTTGATTGATCTCTTCCCACCCTCCTTCCCACCTTCCCTCTGAGATCTGTCCGTCTGCTCCATGTTGCCATGTCTGCGGTCCTATCTTGTTTATCAGTTTGTTTTGCTCCTTAGATTCCACATATAAGTGAGATCATATGATGCTTGTCTTTCTCTGACTGACTTATTTCACTTAATATAATACTCTCCAGGTCCCTCCATGTTGTCTCAAAGGGTAAGAGATCCCCTTCTTTTTAAAAAAATTTTTTTTATTAATTAATGTATTTTTATTACAGATGTTTCTCCTTTCCCCCCATTGACACCCTCCTCCTGATCCCACCTCTGAGATCCTTCTTTTTTTACAGCTGCATAGTATTCCACTGTGTACATGTACCACAGCTTTTTTATCCACTCATCTACTGATGGGCTTTGGGCTGTTTCCAGATCTTAGTGATTGTAAATAGTGCTGCTGTGAACATAGGAGTACATATATTCTTTCTGATTGGTGTTTCAGGCTTCTTAGGGTATATTCCTAGAAGTGGAGTCACTAGGGTGGGAGATGTTTTTAAGGAATCACGATCTTGAGCCTGGCTGTCTTCACATCAGCTCCACTTGTCGGTTTCAGAACAACTCCATTGCCGATGAGTACACCGTCGACATTGTGGGGAAGCTGCTCTGCCACTTGCCGGCGGCTGTCATCCAGCATGGAGTGTCCCCCAGGGCCTGGGCTCCTGCCCTGCACGGCCTCAGAGACTGCCCAGGCCTTAGCCCCGAGCAGAAGGCCGCAGTGCGGCTCCGGCTCCTGGAGCAGCATGGGTGAGGGGCTGGCCCAGTGCCGGGGGTGGGGGTCTGTGCTGGCACGGGGCCCCTGGAGCAGCACAGGTGAGGGGCTGGCCCAGTTCCGGGGGAGGGGCCTGTGCTGGCACGGGGCCCCTGGAGCAGCACGGGTGAGGGGTTGGCCCAGTTCCGGGGGAGGGGGGCTGTGCTGGCACGGGGCCCCTGGAGCAGCCGGGTGAGGGGTTGGCCCAGTTCCGGGGGTGGGGGGCTGTGCTGGCACGGGGCTCCTGGAGCAGCACGGGTGAGGGGTTGGCCCAGTTCCGGGGGAGGGGCTGTGCTGGCACGGGGCCCCTGGAGCAGCACGGGTGAGGGGCTGGCCCAGTTCCGGGGGAGGGGCTGTGCTGGCACGGGGCTCCTGGAGCAGCACAGGTGAGGGGCTGGCCCAGTTCCGGGGGAGGGGCCTGTGCTGGCATCAGAGGAGGTTAGACGCTCCGGGGTCCCTGTGAAGTGAGACAGTGGTCGCTGCTCTCCGGGCCTCACCGTGGTCCTGCACACCTTGGAGTACGGAAAGGGAAAGTGCTTTGAAAAGATAGCGTTTTACATATGCAAGGAGGCGGCAGTATCGCTGTTATGAAATAATAGCAGTGACGATGACGTAAATAGTCAAGGCACTGTCAGCTCTGGGTGAATGAGAGCCCGGGGCAGACAGACTGTTCTTTCCCGAGGAGAATTTTCTGAAGTTGGTCAGAGAGCTGAGTAGGGCTGAGCCATCAGTCAGTGATTAGACAACAGGGTTTTTGGAGAAATCACTGTACCCCAGGCACCGTGTGATCATGTAGAGTTCAAGGGCGTGGGGTCGGGAGCCAAGGCTCCTTGGATTGAAATCTTGTTTCTATCGTTTACTCTCTGTGTGACCTGGGACATGTAACTTAATGTTTGCACTTTATTTTCACATCTGGGTGAGGGGACAGTAACAGTGTCCACAGGACTGTTGTGATGGTAACTGAGCTGATGCCTGAGAAGGACTCGGCAGTGCGGGCCCACAGTCCTGCTGCTCGAACCAACGACACAGCGGTTAGAGAGACAGGTGTGTTCTTGTCTGCACAGAGCTTATGGGCTACTGGGGTACTACTTAAAAAATTTTTTTTTTCTTAATTGATTTTAGAAAGAGAGGAACGAGCAGGGAGAGCTAGAATCATCAATGAGGGAGAACATTGATAGGCCGCCTCCTGCATGCCCCCCTCTGGGGATGCGGCCCACAACCTGGGCATGTGTTCTGACCGAGAATTGAACCAGCGATCTCTTGGTGCAGGGTCAGTGCTCACCACTGAGCCACACCAGCAGGGCTGGGATACTATTTTTAATTAAAGAGATAAGGAGATAGCTTTTTGGCCAGGAGTGGTTTGCTTGGGTCCTAAGAGGGGTTACGACTGCTATCTGGGCAGACCTCCTTCAGAAATGTCACCAGACACGGTGTGAGGCACTTCACTGTGGACATTGGTGGTCTCTGTAAGAACAACAGTGCATTCTGCGTTCTGCTGTTAGTACCTGTCAAGTTCAAGAGGAAAGTTTGTCTTATTGTAAGAGAGAAGACTTAAGTAATTTAAATAGGGAGGAAGAAAATGCTGTGATGTGATGACAGAAAATTAACAATTCAACTCAAGCTAGAAAAGGGGAATTTATTCAGTTTAGAAATAGAATGTAATGGAAAACTGCAGGAGTGGACTTCAGGCATGGTTGAATCTAGGAGCTCAAATAATGCCATCAGGAATTCTCCTCCTGTCCCTCAGCTCTGCATTCCTAGGTGTGGCTTTATGATCTCCATGGGTGATAGGAACAGCCTCCAATGTCCTTTTTACTACATCAGAAGAAAGAGAGCTTCTCTAGTGGTTTCACTGAGATTCCTACGGATGATTCTGATTGGTCACCCTGCATCTCATGCTCAATGGCTTGGCCAGGGACGCGGGACCACGTGATTGACAGTCTGTACCTCTGAACATAGTCTGTCTCAGAAAGAAAAGGATGCTGGGGACAAAGACAGTAGCACATTTTTTTCCATTCGTTGCTTCTGATCTCTCCTTAGCTTCCCTCAGAACTGGACAGCTGAGACGACGAAGGACTTGGGACCCTTTCTAGTGCTTTTCTCAGGAGACGAATTAAGCTCTGTTGCCACGAAGGTATCTCTGTGTTCTGCTGTCAGAGGCGGAGGAGCTTGAAGGGGCGAGAGCGTGGGGTCTGTCTTGCTGCTGGCTTGTTTTCTTCCTGCTCAGAGGGCTCAGATCTTGCAGCTGCACCCAGGGTGCCGAGGTCCAGGAGAAGGGGTGAGGCCGCAGCGGCTGAACTCTGGCCCTTCCCCTTGCTCTCTCGCAGGGGTGCGCAGCCAGCGGGCTGAGACTTCTACGTGCACGTTGGTCTGGGCCTTACATGCACCAGCACCGTGTGTGCACACATGACCAGCCTGTGTAAATGATGTATATTACTTATATTACTGAACATCTGTTGAATTATTACTGAGGCCGAGTATCGTTTTATATGGTTCTTTGTAGAAACCAGGTAAGTTGGGCTGGAATTAAGTATATAAGAAGCTGCTATGAAGGAAGAAAAACCTGCGGCAGTTATAGCTTAAACTCTGATTTCAGTTTATGTTCAACATGCTTTAATGATTATCTCCTTCTCCTCGTTCACCTTCTCCCCCCGACAGTTTCCTGATATCCTTCAACAAGCGGCTTCTAAGACGGCCGGCGGCCCACCCCCCAAAGCCTTCCTCTGGGCGGTCTTCAACTCCGTTTGGAACAGCAGTGAGAGGGGCCCCAGCACGGACCCCAGCCCTGGTGAGTGTCGGGGCCCCTGCCCGGGCCATGGCAGCAGGGTCTCGGCGGGGTCGCTGGCATCGAGGGGCCTCCTTGTCTAGGGGCTGGATGGAATGTTTGCAAAGTGACAGCAGCAAACGTCCCCAGGCCAGTGGGCCTCACTGTGTCAGGGACCTGGAAGCACGTCCCGGTGTCTGGCCCAGGCAGTTCACTGGTGGACACGCAGAACAACCAGAAAACAATTGGCTTCATGGGGCCAGAGTGGCTGGGGGGCTGTTTGCCGTGCTGGGGCCGGCTGGGTGTGCACCCTGGCTCTGCTGCTTACTGACTGGGACTGTGGGAGCTTCTTAGCCTCTCTGTGCCTCAGTGTCCATCTTTGGAAATGGGCACAATGACAGTTCCTACCTGGTTAGGGTATCGTGAGGACCAGTGGGTCAAGCCTCTGATGTGTTCCCAGTGGCACCTGGCATGTAGGACACGCTCAGTAAGTGTCATCGCGCACCTGCTCAGGGGAGGAGGAGACGACTTTCAGCAAGCCCGTCGACAACTGTGATCGTCACATTGACAGTCAGGGCTGCTTCCTGTCCTGCAACAAATGATTGTTGAGAGGGCCGCATGGCAAAGCATGGTCCTGCCCTCCGGAGCCTGCTTTCCCGTGGTCCTGTGTGTGTGTGTGTGTGTGTGTGTGTGTGACAATGAACTGCCCAGGTGCATGCTGTGTGGGGATAAGTGTCAAGAAGGAAAACAGAAGGGCAGGGGTCAGGGAGGATGTGCTGGGGATTACACTTTGAAAAGGCATGTTTCAGTAGGAACCCGACATTCGTGTAAAGACCAAGCCCTGGCCGGTTTGTTTGGCTCAGTGCTTGGAGCGGCAGCCCTCAGACCAGAGTTGCGGGTTCGATTCCGGTCAAGGGCACATATCTCGGTTGCAGTTTGTCCCTGGCCCTGGTTGGGGTTGTGCGGGAGGCAACCAGTCAATGTGTCTCTCTCACATCGATGTTTCTCTCTCTCCCTCTCTTCCTCCCTCCCACTCTACCTGAAGATAAATAGAAAAATATCCTTGGGTGAGGAATGACAACGAAAGACCCAAGGGATGGGGGAGAGCCCATGGATATTTGGAGTGCAGAGTCTTCCAGGCAGAAGGACGTGTGACAGGAGAGGAAGTAAGAGGCCAGTGTGGCTGGAGGGGGTGAGACACAGGCAGTCACGCGTGGCCTTCGGGAAACCCTGAGAACTTTGGCCTCCCCCCAGGTAGGGGCTCAGGGGGCCCCCAGCAGAGAGAGCGATGACCTGACTGTGCTTATTTTGGGTGATCATCACTCATCCTCACCCCTGTCCAGTGAGGTGGGCGCTATGATTTCTCCCGTTTTCTTGACGAACAAAATTGAGGTTTAGGGAGATAAAGAGACTTGGCTGAAGTCACAGCATCAATAAGTGGCAGCTCTTGGATTTGTCCCCAAATATGGGGGAGTTTGCCACTGTCCTCACAGCCCCGCAGCCCAGCAGTGATGTTGCAACATGCCCAGTCTTTCCACACTTCGGGTGGGCGCTGGTCCAGTGCGCAGTCTGCGTTGTCATTAGTGGGTCTGTTATTTTTTAAAAAATATTTTTTCTTTATTGATTCCAGAGAGAGAGGAAGGGAGAGGGAGAGAGAGATAGAAACATCAATGAGAGAGAACATCGATTGGCCGCCTCCTGCATGCCCCCCACTGGGGATCAGGCCCACACCTGGGCACATGCCCTGACTGGGAATCGAACTGGTGACGTCTTGGTGCAGGGGCCGATGCTCAACCACTGAGCCACACTGGCCGGGCAGTGGTTCTGCTATTAGTCACTGTGGTGCTTACAGTAACTATGGATTGGCAGAATCACTGTAGCCAGCCCTCGTTCATTGCGGTTAATCAGTTAACCAATTTCAGACTCTACTGCGATAAATGGATTTTTGTGAAGTAGATTATTTATACAGTCGTCCCTCGCCACTTTGTGCTTCGATGTTCGCGGCTTCACTCTATTGCGTTTTTTTTCAATATAGTACAGTACAGTACAGTATAGTACAGTGTAATACAGTACAGTACAGTGTAGTACAGTACAGTGTAGTATAGTGCAGTATTGTACAATGCAGTACAGTACGGTACAATACAGTATAGTGTAGTACAGTAAGTACAGTATAGTGCTGTGTAGTGCAGTACAATACAGTACAGTGTAGTGCAGTACAGTAAGTACAGTATGGTATAATATAGTGCAGTGCAGTATAGTACAGTACAATACAGTACAGTGTAGCACAGTACAGTGTAGTACAGTATAGTGTGGTATAGCACAGTACAGTGTAGTACAGTGTAGTGCCGTGTAGTACAGTACAGTATAGTGTAGTGTAGAACAGTGTAGTGCAGTATAATACAGTATAGTGTAGTACAGTAAGTTCAGTACAGCATAGTGCAGTGTAGTGCAGTGTAGTACAGTAAGTACAGTATAGTGCAGTGTGTGCAGTGCAGTACAGTGTAGTGTAGTGCAGTACGGTACAGTGTAGTACAGTACAGTACAGTGTAGTACAGTACAGTATAGTATAGTACAGTACAGTATTTGAAAAAACCACGATAGAGCGACGTCGCGAAAGTCGAAGCGCGAAGTGGCGAGGGAAGACTAGTTGTACTTGGTTTCATTATGGTTAATCTGTGTGTGTTGACTCATTCAACAGTCATTTGCTGAGCACTGCTCTGTGCTGGGCCTGGGGACAGCAGTGCAGAGGCCGAGCGCCTGTGCACTGTGGACCCATCTGTCCCTCCGGTTCAGTGTTTTCATAGGAAAATGGGGAGGGGGCGTCGAGGAGGGATGGGTCTTCTGTCCCCTCCCAGTGTGTTGTGATAATGGTGTTTGAGGACATCTCACAGTGCCCTGGGCCTGGTCCAGCCTCACTTGTCGGAGCCAGTGGATTTGCAGTGGAGATGCAGTGGATCTGCGTGCGGAGATGCAGTGAATTTGCAGGGGAGATGCAGTGGATTTGCAGTGGAGACGCAGTGGACTTGCAAGGGGAGATGCAGTGAATTTGCAGTGGAGATGCAGTGAATTTGCAGTGGAGATGCAGTGGAGATGCAGTGGATCTGCGTGTGGAGATGCAGTGGATTTGCAGTGGGGATGCAGTGAATTTGCAGTGGGGATGCAGTGAATTTGCAGTGAGAAGGGATTGACCGCGGGGAATGCCCTGGGCAGGGAGGGCTGACCTCTTGTCAGCATCAGCCAGATTCGGGATTGCTCTTAGGACAGGAGCCTTGGGTCTTCTCCCTGGCTGGGCATGTCTGGGCCAGCAAGACAATATCCCATTTCTGTTTTGACGGTGGGTAGCTGGTTGGTGAGTTTCATGTTATTCAGAGACCAAAAAGGGGGGGTTTCTCCTCTTTCCTGGGATGGAAGGCCACAGCACCTCCGTGGTCTTTCTGGAGGGCAAATGGTCCTCCCTACCACTCTCAGGAGTGGTTCTTCCTCATTGTTCTGAAACCCTTTGCACACTCAAATGCATGGGGTGGTGGTGGCAGGTGGCATAAGTAATAAACAGGATGTACCGGGTGTTTACTGTCTCCCTGCACTAAGCACTTTATATCTGATAACACATTTAGTCCTCACAAACATTTGACAAAGTAGCTTTCTCCTCATTTTGTAGTTGAGGAAACTGAGGTGCAGGGGGTGAACCAGCTTTGGATGGAATTCACAGCCAGAGCTCTTCACCCCCAGAGTCTGCTGCCCTCTGGGACAGGTGTAGTCCAGCTACAATGTTGCCAAGCTCCTACTGGGTGCACAGGCTGTGTGCTGTGCAAAACACCGGCACTGCCATGGTTCTGGTACCAGGTAACTAGCAAGGACTGGCAACAGCTGGTCCCAGAGCCCTGCGGCCAGTTTTCACTCTGCACTGCCTCTCGTGGGAAGCCTGCAGGAGAAGAATAGTCCTCATTTCAGTAAAGAAACAGACTTAACGTTTTCTCAACTTTTCTTTCCTCTGTTCCTTCCCTGTGTCTCCCCATTTTCAGGCTGCCACGGAGTCAAGACTCCCTCTTCTGATGACATCATCAAACTGGCCGAAGCCAATGCCTGCTGGGCCCCCCAGGACCTGCTCTGCATGGAGGAAGACACGTTCATCAGGAGTGTGGAGCTCCTGGGGGCCCTCAGGGGGTTGGACCGGCCTCAGCTGATGGCCCTGAAGGAGAAGGCCATACAGGTAAAAATACCACCCGAGGGAGGAAGCATCTAACAGGGAAACCCAACACGAGGCACCTGGTGCATGTGTCACAGAGTGCTCCCCGAGGACCTGTCACCGCCTTTCCTTATTGAAATTTCACTGTGTGGAACTTTGGGGTCCTTTCTCAGGCTGCAGCAGTGAAGGTCTGAGTGTATGTCTTGGCATCTAATGGACACTCAGCAGATCAGATTCTGTGGGTGTTGGTGCCTTGACCGACACAGTTCCAAGGAAGTGAGCCTTTTCCTCTACCGGGGAACCCCTCCCACAGCTGTTCTCAGAGTCTGCTGCAAATCCCCCTGAAAACGCAGCAGAAAGGAGTAACAGGAACCGAGAGGTTTGCCATTTTTATGAAGGTCCCTTTGAGGGGCTTGTTCTAGCTGTTAGGATAGTTGTGGAATGTGGGTTAAGATGTTAAATGCCTTAAAATTATAACTATTTAAAAATATTTTTTGTTTATTGATTTTAGAGAGAGAGGAAGGGAGAGTTAGAGAGATAGAAACATGGATGAGAGAGAACATCGACTGGCTGCCTCCTGCATGCCCCCCACTGGGGATCGGGCTCACAACCTGGGCATGTGACCTGACCTGGAATCGAACCAGCAACCTTTTGGTGCATGGATCAATGCTCAATCACTGAGCCACACCGGCCGGGCTATATCTATTTTTTTATAAGTAATCCAAATTTATTATAGAAAAGTCAGAAAATAGTAAAGAAGAGAGCAGTCATAATCTTTTACCCAGAGATAAGCACTGTTGATATTTTGGTATATTCAGCTGAAGCTTACTAGATTTCTGTGTATATGTGTAAAATATATTTATATATTTCATACCAAAAAATAGTATCACACTCACCTACTATTCAATAACTTTGACTCATACCCAGCAATATACAATGCATATTATGTATACCAGAAATATAAATCTATGTCAGTATTGTAAATAGTTATATAACATTTTATTTTATGACTGGTTCTTATTTATTTAGCTAATTGGTAGACTTTTAGGTTGTTTATATTTTTTAATGCCTCAAGGTCCATATGTGCACATATTTCTTTGGGTGCCTGTCTCATTTATTTACTTAGGTTACATTCCCAGAGGTGGAATTTCTGGGTCAAAGAATACAAATATTTTTAAAGCTTTCACTATGTACAGCCAAATCCCCCTCTAAAAAGCCTGTACCAATTTATATTAACATCAACAAATGAGGGCATCCTTTACCCTGTATCTTTCCAGCACCACAAATGGTCCTTCTTTTTACTCCTCATCAGTATCATCAGCCAATATGATTGCTGTTAATGTACGTATCTAAAAATTATGACCGAGACTGAATGTTTCCCCTTATGTTTATTTCTTTTTTTGTGAAGTTTCTGTTCGTGTCTTTTCTCTATTTTTAAAACAACTATAATGAACCTTTTCTTATTTATTTACAAAAGAACTTTATATAGGCAAGAGATTCACCCAATGTCTGTTTTCAATACTGTCAGCAATGGTCAGTCTAATCTGGCTTTTGTCCATTGGAAGGTCTGGGACACGCCTTCTCAATGGCGAGAACACCACATCGTCTCCCTGGGCCGCATCGCTCTGGCTCTGAATGAGAGTGAGTTACAGCAGCTGGATCTCAGTTCCATTGACACTGTGGCTGCCCTAAGCCAGCATTCAGAATGGACCCCAGGACAGGTAGGTAGATGTTGCTGGATCTTTTAAAGATTTTTAAAAATTGATTTTTAGAGAGAGAGGAAAGGAGAGGAAGAGAGAGAAACATTGATGTGAGAGTGAGACATCAATCAGCTGCCTTCTGCACGCCCTCTATTGGGGTTCAAGCCTATAACTTGGGCATGTGCCCTGACTGGGAACTGAACCAGCGACCTTTCGGTGCATGGAAAAATGCCCCACCAACTGAGCCACACCAGTTATGGCTGAATCTTTTTGTTGTTATTGTTAGTCCTCGCCTGAGGATAATTTTTCCATTGACTTTTTTGAGAGAGTGGGAGGGAGGGGGGAGGGGCAGAGAGCGAGAGAAACATTGATGTGAGAGAGACACATCGATTAGTTGCCTCCCTCATGCACCCCTATTGGGCCTGGGATCAAACATGTCACCCAGGTACATGCCCTTGACCAGGAATCAAATCCGTAAGCCTTCCGTATGCAGGCTGATGCTCTACCAGGGGTGGGGTACATCCAGCCCAAGGGCCATATAAGGCCCATGAAATCAATACCAGCTAACATCACACACCTCACCAAATTAGCCTGACCAAATAAGCAGGCTAATTTTTTAAATCCTCACCCAAGGATATTTTTCTATTGATTTTTAGATAGACTGGAAGGGAAGAGGGGGAGAGAGAGAAACATCGATGTGAGAGAGACACATTGATTGGTCACCTCCCACATGACCCCAACCAGGGCTGAGATTCGAACCTGCAACTGAGGTATGTGCCCTTGACTGGGAATTAAACCTGAGACTCTTTGGTCCATGGGCCGATGCTCTAACCACTGAGCAAAACCAGCTGGGCTATTGTTCATATTTTTTATCTTCTTCTTCTAGAAGACCCTTCAACATTTTATATAATACTGGGAAGATCTTTATAAGTCTATTGATTCTAAATGATAGCTTTGCAGGATAGAGTAATCTTGGTTGTAGGTTCTTGCTTTTCATCACTTTGAATATTTCTTGTCACTCCCTTCTGGCCTGCACAGTTTCTTTCTTTCTTTTTTTTTTTTTAAATCCTCACCCGAGGATATTTTTCCATTTTTTGTACAGATAGAGTGGGAGGGAGAGAGAGGAAAGGAGAGAGAGTGAGAAACATCGACGTGAAGGGACACATCGAGTGGCTGCCACCCGCACGACCAACCAGGGCCGGGGACAAACTGCAACCGAAGTACGTGCCCTTAGCGGAAACCGAACCCGGGTCTCTCCGGACCGCAGGCTGACGCTCTAACCGCTGAGCCAAACTGGCCAGGGCATGCACAGTTTCTTTTGAGAAATCAGCTGACAGTCTTATGGGAGCTCCCTTGTAGGTAACTAACTGCTTTTCTCTTGCTGTTTTTAAGATTCTCTCTTTGTCTTGAACCTTTTGCATTTTGATGATGATGTGTCTTGGTGTTGGCCTCTTGGGGTTCATCTTGTTTGGGATTCTCTGTGCTTCCTGTACTTGTATGTCTGTTTTCTTCACCAAGTTAGGGAAGTTTTCTGTCATTATTTTTTTCAAATAGGTTTTCAATTTCTTGTTCTTTCTCTTCTCCTTCTGGCATCCCCATGATGCAAATATTGGTACACTTGAAGTTGTCTCAGAGGCTCCTTACACTTCCTCATTTTTATTTTTTTTCTGTACTGATTGGGTATTTTTTCCCCCCCCTTATATTCCAAATCAATGGTTTGCTTCTCAGCTTCACCTACTCTACTATTGATTCCCTGTAAATTATTCTTTATTTCAGTTAGTGCATCCTTCATTTCTGACTGGTCTTTTATTATGTTCTGGGTCCTCACTAAGTTTCTTGAGTATCCTTTTAACCAGTGTTTTGAACTCTGCATATGTTAGCATGCTTATCTCCATTTTGTTTAGTTCTTTTCCTGGAGTTTTATTCTTTTCTTTCATTTAGGAAATGTTACTGTGTCTCCTCATTTTGGCTGCTTTCCTGTGTTTGTTCCTATGTAGTATATAGAGTTGCTACATCTCCTAGGTTTGGGAGGGTGGCCTATTGTAGTAGGTGTCCTTTAGGGTCCAGTGGCACAGCCTCCCTGATCACCCAGCTGGGCACTTAAGGTGCACCCCTAGTGTGGACTGTACACCCTTCTGTTGTAATCGAGTCTTTATTGCTGTTGGCACATCAATGGGAAGGATTTACTCAGACTGATAGTCTGCAAGGACTGGCTGTGCCCACTGACCACTCACCTCTGACTCCCTTGGAGGATCAGCTGTGCAGGGGCTCACCACACAGAGCAAGACTTACTTCAGGGGGGCTCTAGTACCCACTGAGCCCACCCTTTGAGTGTGTTGCTCATGAAGGTGGTTGGGTGGTGGTGCTTCGATGTGGTTTGAAGCTGTCCATTGGGTGTGCTGGCTCTGGGCCTACTGGGAGGTGCAGGCCAAGGTCAGCCACTGCCTGTGTTCCACCCGGGGCCACCAGGCGTAATCTACAAAGCAACCTGCTGATGGCTGCTTCTTGTTCTGGGCTTGGAGGTGCCCAGGCAAAGCCAAGTTGTGAACCAAGGCTGGCTGCTCCTAGTGCCAGTCCTGGGGCCACTTAGTGAGAGGTATGGGGATTCTGAGACTAGATGCTGCTTGTTTGAGAGAATTTAGGAAAACCTGAAGTAGGAGCCAAGACAGGCCAATCCTATGGTAAAGCTACTGGAAACAGCTTGGGCAGGCCTGAAAGTTGGGTGGGGCCTCAGGGAATCACCAGGGCGGGGCAAACAGTGTGAGCCAGGTTGCTGGAGCCCCAGATATGGCGGGTGTCTGCCGCCCCAGGGAAGGGCTCACCAAAGGAACAACCACCTCTGTCAGCACATCTGTCCAGGAGAAAGCTGCCCCTCTAGCTCTCACCCTGATGCCAAACAACGCAGTTCTTCCCCATATGTCTCTGGTGCCTTTTAAGCTGCCTCCCCTATTCTGGAGCCTGGAGGGAGCGAGTCTGAGTAGGTCCATGCGTGGGCCCTTTAAAAGGAGCTGCCTGGGGCCCCAGTAGCCTCAGCCTCCCTCAGCCCCAGTTCCTGCTGGTTTTCCAGCCAGAAGTGATGGGGATTCTCTTCCTGGCGCTGGAACCCTGAGCTGGGCGCCTGGTGTGGGAGGGGCATCTCACTCCTCAGGAGGACCTTCCCAGCTGAGGTGTCCCCCTGATTTTTATCCACCACACGTGGGTGTGGGACCAGCCCATCTGCCTCCACCCTCCTACCAGTCTCCATGTGGCTACTTTAATCTCGTGGTTGTAGGACTTCCATTCAGCTCGATGTCAGGCGGTTCTGAATGATGGTTGTGCTGTATTTTAGTTGTAATTTTGATGTGGTTGTGGGAGGAGGTGATAGTGCATTTGCCTATGCCAACATCTTGATTGGCAGTCTCTGTTTTGGCATACATTTAAATTACCTTCAGATCAGTTTGATTTGGGGAGCTTCCTTTTGAGCTTGATTAGGGTGAGTGTAGAGAGACCTTTATTCTGTGGGTAATTCATCCAGGACTGAGACATGGTTCTTCTGAGAATACTACCTAAGAAAATGTATTCCACGCCGCCGCCTCAGGCTGGCAGGAATGGGGACTCTCCAGCGCCAGTGAGTCCCGGGATTGCTCAGCCCACTGCCTTCTGGTGTGCCGTTAGGGTATTTACGTGGAGTTGTCCTTCCTCCTGGAGTCAGCTCTCAGCCAGACTCCAGAACACTCCCCTACCCTCTGCAGGAGCTGGCTGTGCAGCGTTGCCTTTCCACGGTTACAGGCGCCCTGACCTCTGACCTCTGACCTCTCCGGCACTCCCCGCCGGTTACAGGCGCCCTGACCTCTCTACACTTGGGTCTTTGTATCCTCAGCTCAGCTGGACCACTGGGCTTGTTTGGGTTCCCTTCCCTGCTCCGTGGTCTGGACACTGCCTCTGGGCAGTGGAACAAGGGCAGTTTTCAGGTTCATTTTACTTGCTCTCATTTATTCAGGATTATAATCCTGTGCTCCTTCTTGTCCAACATCTGAATACTGTCGTTTTATATGTTTTATATATTGTTCCGTTTTCTTGTTGTGTTTTGTTGGAGGGCGAGTCCCGTGTCTGTTAACCCTTCATGTGCTGGAGAAGTTCTCTGCGGAATTTCTCAGCTGGGGGACGTCACCCACGGCACTGCTGGGGGCCTAGCTGCTGCGCGACACCTGCCTTCTCGGGCCGCCCTCCCGCAGCGGCATCTTTGCACGAGGCTTTCGTATCTAATCAGCAACCTGACAAAAACTACCCCTTTCTCACTGATCTCTGAAGAAGTCCAGCATTGACTGCAGTCGTGTGATAGCCTCCCCGAGCAGTCACGGTGGTCGGGGGGATGCTGGTTGGTGGGGGAGTGGAGTCCGTCTTCCAAGTCCTGTGATCTGAGAGTGAGGAATGGGTGTGTGGTCGGCTGGCAGGTCCCCAAGGTGTCTGCGTCCTAACCCCTAGAACCTGTGGATGTTACCTGATGTGGCACAAGGGACATTGCAGATGTGCTTAAGGTGAGGACCTTGCCGGGCGGAGTTATCCTGGATTATCCAGTGAGTGCAGTGGGGTCATAGGGTTCTTACGAAAGGAGGCAGGAGGGCCACAGGCCGTGGGGTGCCGATGGAAGCAGAGGACAGAGCTCGGCGGTGCTGCGCTGCAGTCTTTGAGGTGGGCTCTGGGTCAAGGAGCGTAGACAGCCTGCAGACGCCGATGAGGCAAGGGCACAGACTCTCCTGCGCCTCCCACTTTAGCCCATTTTAAGGACATAAGACCTCAGGAACTGTAAGAGAATAATGTTTGTTGTGTGAACCCACTAAATGTGTGGTAATTGGTTAGAGCAGTCAGAGGAAATAAATACAGAATGGTTTGCAAAGGTATGGTGTCAGCAAAGAATGGGGGATGGATGCTGGGCAGGCAAACCAGTGCATGTCCCCCACTCTCATGAACTTTGTGATCAGATGGCCACATCACATAAGTCTGAATGGCACCATTCAAATAGGACACAGAGTGAACTGTGTCCCCTGGAGCTGGGCAGTGTGGCCATGAGGACTAAATGAGTTAATATAGGTGAAACACGCTGAACAACACCTGTACGTAGCATTCAATAAAAATTAGTTGTTTTTGCCTGGCCAGTGTGGCTCAGTGGTTGAGAGTCAACCCACGCAGCAAGAGGTCGCCAGTTCCATTCCCGGTCAGGGCACATGCCTAGGTTGTGGGCCGATCCCCAGTGGGGGGCATGCAGGAGGCGGTCAATTGACGTTCTCTCTCATCGATGTCTCTATCTCTCTCTCTTCCTACCTCTCTCTCTAAAATCAATAAAGGAAAAAAAATTAGTTGTTTTCACTGTCATCATCGTCAGCATCAGCATCATTATCCCATTTCTTTTTGCTGGCAGTTGAATAGTTTCCTCCTTTGCAAGGAGAGAAGGTCAGACCCAGCGACTGAGGGCCCTTCCGCTCTGACATTCTGTAGCCCTGAGGTTCTGTCGCTCAAGCTGGTTTTGACAGTCTGAGAGACTTCGACTTGGAAGCCATAGCATCTCTTTCCTTCTGGACCAGTTTTAATTCCCATGGGTGGCAGTGGGATTTGCCAGTATGTTTGGAGAAAATGTGAAAACCTAACACTTGCACTTCGTTCCTCCCTTTAGCTCCCAATCAAACGCTTACATGCGTGCTTCGAGGTTAATAGAGCTGGTGGAACTACTTTAACAGAGAGTTCAGCTTAAAAACCAATATACAGGCCCTGGCCGGCTTTGCTCAGTGGTTAGCGCATCAGACCATGGACCAGTGAGTCATGGGTTCTATTCCAGTCAAGGACATGCACCTGGATTCCAGTCAAGGGCACCTACCTTGATTTCGTCAAGGGCACATACCTTGGCTGTGGTTCATCCTCAGCCCTGGTCAGGGTCATGCGGGAGGCAACCAGTTGATGTGTCTCTCTCACTTGATGATGTTTCTCTCTCTCCTTCCCTCCCTCCCACTCTATCTGAAGATAAATAGAAAAATATCCTTAGGTGAGGATTAAAAAACAAACAACAACCAAAAAAACCCAATATACAGAAAAAGAACCTAGACTAGTAGCCGACAGGATGAGCAGAGAGAGCGATACTCATGGCTATTCACCTTTCTGTGGGTGTTGTTAACTAAAAGCATTAGTATTAATTGTCTTGGAATCATTATAGATACACTGGTCCAGTCTTTCAAGCAGCTGCGTTTTGGCTCATCACCTGGCAGGCTGAGCTTGCGTTTTCCAGGTTTCAGTGGCAAAGGACAATTTAATACTGCATCTTCAAAGTTTTATTTGAATTGTAGTTTTGCACTTTCATTTTAAAATGGGCCTGCCGGGCAAAACTAAAAGCATTTCCCTTAAGAACAGGAACAAGACAGGGATGCCCACTTTTGTCACTCTTATTTAATGTAGTACTGGACGTCTTAGCCACAGCAATCAGACAGGAAGAAAAAATAAAAGGGATCCAAATTGGAAAGGAGGAAGTGAAACTGTCATTGTTCGCAGAGGAATGGCTCTGGAGTCAGGCTGCCTGGGTTTTAGTCCCAGGACTAGGATTTGCTCGCTGGGAAACCTTGGCTCAGGTACGTCATCTCTCTGTGCCTCAGTCTCCTTGTCTGGGAATCAGGGCTGACACTCATGCTTCACGGGTGGCTGTGGTGGTTAGGGAGGTGGTATGTGTGAAGTGCAGGCACACAGTAAGCATTCAGTATTACTAGCTATTATTTTGGATGTATAGAAATGCCAGTCAAAGCCACTGAAGTCTGAGTGTGGTTACTGAAGTTCTCCTATAGAACCCGTGAGTTCGGTCATCACGGAGGGCAACTTCCTGCAGGAACTTGGGAAATCTCCCTGAAGCTAACCCACCATGTGAGGGCTTCGAAGGGTACATATTGTCCACAACTTCTGTAGATGACTTGCTCAGCCGTCCATTCATTCTTCACGTATGAAGGACTTGTTGATGCGCCTGTGTGTCAGGCATCCTGCTGGGTGCTGGGGATACAGTAGCGAACTAGCTGGATACGATGTGTGTCTTTGGGCATCCTACTTGGTGATACAGACAAAAAAAGTGAGCAGTCAAGGTGAAAATTTAAAAAGTTGTTATAAGTGAGAAGCATGACATGGACAAGGTGCTCATGGAGATAGTAGGGAGGGAGGCTACTTGAGAGAGGGGGATCCAGGCGGTCTTCTCTGAAGAAGTAGCATTTAAACAGACCAGAGAGATGGGAAAAAACAGCCATATGAAAACGAATTCCACTGCTACATACCACAATTTTTAAAAAATATATCACAGTCACTGCCAACTCTGTCTCTCAGCACTGTAATGTCCTCGTCGAGTGTTGGGGATGGACCGATGTTCAAGGAGGGTGGAAAGTTCACTGTGTCCCTGTGATCCTCACTCCCATTCAAGAGATGTTCACCCTTGGCTGTCTCCTCATCTTTGCCTTGTGAGCCCGAGCACCGAGGGAGCCAGCCTTTGGTATACAGCTCATCTCCAATGGAATGACTTGGTTCTTGCCTCAGGTCCAGCGTAGGTCAATCAGAAATATCAGGGCCCATCTAGTTACAAGTGGCAGAAAACTCAAAGTGGCTGAGCAAGAAAAGGAATTAATTGATTATCATAACTGAAAAGTTCAAGTGTAGATTTCAGGTATGGCTGGATCCAGGAGCTTTAACACTACTGTCAGGATTCTGTCTCCCACCAATTTTGACCTAGCTTTTTTTTTGGTTGGCTTCATTTGGAGGCAGGCTCTATCCACGTGGTGAGTTCTAGTAGATACAGGTGTTTCTCCTTCCCAGGTCCAGTCCACAGTAAAGAAAGTTCTTCTCTCCTAATTAATTATCCCAGCTAAAGTCCTGGTAGGTTTTGCCTGGATCACATGGCCAATCTAGAACCAATTACTGCAGCCAAGCTAAGAGATAACTTGACTGGTCAGGACCAGGCCACAGAATCGCCCCTGGAACTCAGACTGCTCTCTGGGAAGGTCATGAATGATGGATGGCCACTGCTAGAATTTCAGGGGCCCTACACACCCGCCTCTTCATATGAAAGTTCATTGAAGAGACCCTGTGTAGTTTTCAACACCAAAGCATTTGACGTACTGCTCTTTGGAGCTGAAGAGTGAGGGGCAAACACATTTCTGTAGGACCTTAGGGAAAGAAAGCTTCATTCTGGCCGAGACAGGAAAGACTTCATGAAGAAGGTGACATTGGACTTGAATCCCCCAAATAACAGGATGGTTGCATTTTAACAGTGGGGATGAAGGAATGGCATTTTAGATGGAAGAACTGATTTGGGCCAAGGCACCAAGGCAGAGGATCACAAGGTTTTGTCAGGAAGTTGTGGAAACAGATGTTGGAAAAGTTTGGATCCTGATGCAGAAGAACCTAAACGTCCAAGTTGTCTGAAGGTGACGAGTGACTGAAGGCGATAAGCTAGCAGACACAGACACAGACACAGGACACAGCTCCTGTAACGTGGGTGAAGGCTACACACCTTCGCTGCCTAAAGACACCGCCTAGGTCAGAGCAGACTCAGGGCGGTTAGCCTGGATGCAGGGTGTGATGGTTTCCAGTGGGGACTGTGTCCGGAGGACTGGGGTGGGGGATCCATCAGGAGGCTGCTGAGTTATCGCCTCAGGCCTCTGGATCATCCTGGGTAGTTCACCTAATGTCCTTCCTCATCTTTACAGGCTGGGTCCATCCTGCGAGGGTTCCTGGAGGACTCAGGCCATCGCATCCAGGACCTGAAGAGCTTCCACTTAGTGGGACTTGGTGCAACACTGTGTGCCATGAACGTCACCAAAATCTCACTTATAAAAATCTCAGAATTCAGGTACCCAAAACACTAGTGTGCAATATGGCAAGTGATCGATGGGTCATTCCTTTAGCAAGAGGCCCTCTGCTTCTGATGCTTGGTCACCATCTGGGCTCGAACAGGGAGCGGGTTCGCTGGGTCCTTTTTAATGCTGAGCTGACCTCCCTTCTGCACACATCTCTTGGCTGGAGAGTCTTCCAGACTCACACTCCGTCCCTCCCTCTTACCCAGGGTGGTGGTGGCCAGAATCGGGGCCCTGCTCTGCAGCACCCAGGTCTTGGCCGAATTCAAGAGGAAGGCAGAAGCTGTGTTTGGGGATCCCGCCGAGTGGTCCAGCTCTGTCTTACAGGAACTTGGAACAATTGCAGGTAAGAGGCACCTTGAACACGCCTTTCTCTCTTTTCCCAACCTTAGATCTGGGGACAGAAGAAAGAATCCTTGGCTTGTGTAGCAAACATCTGCATAGTTACTGTAAACCTAGAGGTCAGCACATGAAGTGGCAGAGGGTGGGGTCGCAAATCTGCCTTTAGAACCAGCGACCGTGGTCGTGTGCGCACAGAAGTGGCTTAGGATGGGACTGAACTGGCTCCTAGAGGGGTTTATACTCAGTCTAGCACTACACCTTCTGGGCCTGCGTTTCAGTGCAGGAGGCCAATCAGGGCCCATGTGGCCCACTTTTTTCTGAGTTGATTTTTGATTTCTGAGTGCACTCTGGGCACTCAGTTCCCAGAGTGGTGTTCGGGGCCTTCTGTACGGAGCGACGCCCCTCGAACATGCTGAAGCATCATTAATAAAATGAGTTCCACTGTCTTGAAGCAAACCCTGGTGATTCCTTTCTCTCCCCAGCTGGACTAACCAAGGAAGAGCTTCGAGTGCTGCGCAAGGATCTGATGCCGTATTTCCAACCGTCAGCAATCAGATGCCTTCCTGATGAGACGTTCAGAGTAGGTCCTCACTCCCTAAGAGAACGGGAGCTTGACCCCATTTCAGACGCACCAGGAAGCAGATGGCGGGCCTTGCACTGTGGGGGCACCACGGGGCTTCTGCTCACAGGGCCAGAGGCCAGCTGTGTGCCAACGATGGCTGTGCCATAGATAATTTCAGGGTATTTTTTTTCTTAAAATTTTAACTCATGTTTTAATTGTATTTATTTATTTATTTAGATTGATTTTAGAGAGAGAGGAGGGAGAGGGAAAGAGAGATAGAAACATCCATGAGAGAGAACATCGATTGGCCGCCTCCTGCACACCCCTCACTAGAGATTGGGCCCACAACCTGGGCATGTGCCCTGACTGGGAATCGATCTGGTGACCTCTTGGTGCATGGGTCAACGCTCAACCAGCGAGCCACACCGGCTGGGCTAATTGTATTTATTTTTAAAGTTGCATCCTCTTCATAGCGAGTGGCACCGCTGTGTGTGCCAGCCCAGCGGGCTCACTCCCTTCCCCCAGACCCAGGGCAGGTCTGGTTCAGAATTCTCTAGGTTATAGAAGGTCACATTCTGAGTGCAGCCTAAGGCCCGGCAGTGTCTGGCAGCCCCAGTGAGCAGCCCCTTCAGCCCTTCTGCTATGAAACTACTGAGATGAATAGAGACCCCAGGTGGTCTCACATCAATTCAGGTTCAGCTGGCAAATAGGTTTGTCTTAAACTTTAGAAAAAACTTTCCATTTGCAGACTATTTTTGGACTTCAGAATTGCAGATGGGGGTTGTGGACCTGGATAATACTTCCATATAAATACATTTAAGTATGCCCTGGCCAGTTTGGCTCAGCCATTAGAGTGTTGCCTGCAGATCAAAGGGTCTGGGGTTCGATTCCTGGTCAAGGGCACATACCTGGGTTGCAGGTTTGATCCCCGGCCCAAGCTGGGGTTGTGCAGGAGGCAACCAATCAACGTCTCACATCAATTTTTTTTTTCTCTTTCTCTCTTCCTCTCCCACCCCCCTTCTATTCTATCTAAAAAAATTGATGGAAAAATATCCTCTAGTGAGGATTAAAAACATTTTTTTCCCAGTAAACATATTTGAATTGGTTTAAAGAAAAGTATTTAAAAAGCTGCAGTAGACAGGTGACAAGCTGAGAGGGTGGAATTGGGGAAACGGGGGTCCAGTGAGGGGTCCTTGCTTCCTGTCCACGCACAAGACGAGGGAGTGTTGGACAGTCTGATGGGGACTGACCCTGGGGCTGTTGCTTGCTGGGTGAGTGGGGAACACATTCTGCCCCCCTCCACTCGATCACACACACAAACAGCGTGGATGGACTCCCAGGATGCTGCATCGGTTCATTTCAAGTCACACAGCAGAGCCCGAACCACTTCAATAGCCAGGACGGCTCCCAGCACAGAGCAGGCACACTGGCTGCTTTGCGGAAGAAACAGTCCTAAAGGCCATTGAGCTTCCCTGGGAGGCTCGCCTGGGCTGGGCAGCTGGGCCGAGCGCTTTCTCGTGGTCTTGTTTGGAGTGCAGTTTGTGGCTGTTCTTTGCTCCGGTATTTACTCCAGGAATTCCTGTTGCCCACCTACAGGGCAGTAGGCTGCAGGTTGGTGTGCCTGGGCACGCACTGGGGGACGGATGAGTGTCCTCAGGGCCTGGAAGATAACCTGGAAGGGACGCAGTGGGCTGGTGGGTGGGAGCGGACGGAGCCCTGCCTGCCTGGGAGGCCGCTTCTCCTCCCCGCAGGCCAGTGCAGGGTGGCAACTGGGCCTGGGGTCGCTGGATCTTTTTTTACAATTTTTTTAGAAGAAGTGAGGATTTCACTGTGAAATCTCCTGATAATTAAATGTTGGCAACCACTTTGCATTTGTTTTTTGAAACACAGTGCGGCAGGCCTAGAGATTCAATCTGGCTGTGGGTGGGGAGTCGGCAACATTAGTAAAACACAATTTTTATAATACAGACTCTGGTAGATCTGAGGTGGAAGCCAGAACACCTACGCTGTGTGTGTGTGTGTGTGTGTGTGTGTGTGTGTGGGGGGGTGCTGAGTCTGGCAGCACAGGTGGAGAGGGGAACCGTGTTCCAGGCAGAAGGAGGGCACTCGAGGAGCTGAGCTGGGCTGCACACACCTGGCCCCTCTGGAGTGAGGAGAGCTGGGGGAGTCGGAGGCCTTCTCGTCACATTCAGGGGCTTGAGCGGTGCCCTGGAGGGGCAGGGAAGGGTCTGCACGCGCCCAGGAACACGCTGCCTAGATAGGAAGGAGGGTGACGAACAGGAAGGGGTGAGAGCAGGCCCCCCTTTCTCAGGATCTCCAGGGCCCTGAGAAAACAGCCGGATGAGTGAGAGGCCTCTCTGCACGCGCAGAGCCGGCGCCCATCTCGTTCACCCCCACTGGAAGGAGCCACTCCAGAAGGCACCTTGTTTAGTTCCCACCTGCGGTGTTTATGCGGACATCCCGGAGGGACCCGCACTGGCTCTCTGAGCGCTCGCAGGACTGCGGTGGTCTGGTGGCCACACCAAAGCCTGGGGATCCGCACAGAGCGGGGTCCTCGCCTTCCCACAACCGGCCCCAAACCCGAGAGGGCAGGCACCTCGCCCGGTACCGCCTGGCTGGGCGGCAGGGCTGGGACCAGCCGCCCGGCGCGGGCCTCTCCGCGCGGGCCTCTCCGCGCGGGCCTCTCCGCGCGGGCCTCTCCGCGCGGGCCTCTCCGCGCGGGCCTCTCCGCGCGGGCTCTCATCGGAAGCACCGGGGGCGCCTTGAGTGCCCTGAACACGCTCACCCCCACGGGGAGAAATCACGACTCCCCTCAGCTCGCCGCCAGCCCTGATTACTTCGGGGGTCCTCAGTCTGGAGCTGGAGCGTCTGGGGTACTCCCTGACACCTTTCCGCCGCTCAGCTTTTAGGCCTCGGGCTCAGCCCTGGTTGGCCCAGAAATCTCGCTAGAATTCCACAATGTTGCTTTATTTCTTTTGGCTTATTTTGAATGGTTACTGATGGCAAGTCATTCTGGTTTTCTATTTTTGGAAATTTCCATTTAGAAAATAAATTTATTTCGGTAGCGAAAGAGTGATCTGATTTTAGGGAGAAACCGTAAAGGGGCACAGTATGGAACCTGGGCGCTGCGCCCCTTCTCCTGCAGGAGCTCTCCGCCGAGCAGATCGCCGCCCTGGGCCCCGAGAACGCGGCGGCCGTGACCCCGGCCCAGCGCCGGCTGCTCCGCGCGCCGCAGCTGCAGAGCCTCCAGCGGGCGCTAGACGGCGCTAAGACGCACTCCTGGCTGGACGCGCCCCCGAGCGCCAGCCCCACGCGGACCCCCTCCTCCCACTCTCCTCCAGGTGAGCAGGCAGCCCCGTCCCCCAGCCCCCCCCCCCATTCCTGTCCTCCTCCGAGCTGCTGGGCCTGGGGCAGGAAGGGTCCTAAGATTCAACATGGGGCCTCTGACAGTCTCTGGAGATTCTGCCTTCAGAGGAAAATCCTGTCTTTACCAAACACATATACATGACTCTCAACTCCGGCTGCACTTGAAAGTCACCCGGGGCAGCTTTTAAAAGCTGCCAATGTCGCGGCTTTGAAGAAAGTCACCCAGAACCCACCGGATCCAAACCTCTCAGGACTAAATCCCATTTCACCGGTTCCTTTGCTTCCTCCTCCTCACTGTGCAGTATTAGCGATGAGATCTAGCCAGTGTATACGGGCACCCCCTGTGCCTGGCCTGCGGTCCCGGCTGGGGACACAGGCAGCAGGCAGGCCCGCTGTGGCAAAGGCCCGGGACCAGGTCATAGCTGACGGGAGCAGGGAAGGAAGGAAGCTGGAAGTGAGGGGACTGAGGGCGGAGCTAAGAGGGGACCGGCTGTGTGGCTTTCCTCCGCTTCTCCTCCTTGCCTTTCCTACTCCCCTCCTCCTCCCTGGCAGCTCCCACTTTGTGGCTCCTCCTGTCTTTAGTGAACACCATCTTTGGGCTAAGATGTGGGGAAACAGTTGTGGACAAACCATGTGCCTCCATCCCCACAGAGTGGGGGCAAGGGGAGACATAGTAGCCAGGTGACCCTGGGCAGTATGACAGGTACTATGATGGGAACACAGGCACCAAGGGAACACACACAAGATGCAGCTGACTTAGGCCAGGGGACATCAGGCAAATAATTGTCCCAAAGACAGTGATGTCTAAGCCCAGACCCAAGATGGGGAGAAGATGGACCCAGCCAGGTGGAGGGTGTCCCAGGTGGAGGGAATAGCATGAGCAAATACCCAAAGAGCGAAGAGAACTTGGTCCTCAATCTCCTGTCCACCATTTCCAGCCTCCTCTTGGGGATGGTGAATTAAGGGGTTCCCAACTGCTGCTGCTGCAAGTGGCCAGAGATAGCCCTTATAAACAGGAGCTGTACCCTTTGATTCACTCTTATTTTAATTAAAATATCATGTGCATACATTTAGAAATTACTTTGAAATGTTGTAGTGTTTAGTGTATATAATACACACAATAGATAATACACATGTGTCAACTGTAAGAAACATTCAAACCTATGAAGAATTTTGTGAGCTTATTTGAGCCAAACTGTCGACAAATGCCGGGAAGCAAAACCTCACCGGACTGAGATAATGCTCCGAGAACGGCGGTTTTACACCTTATTTTATACATAACAATAAAAGAAAATGTAAGTGGGTTACATGAAATCCACTGGTGATAGGTTAGGGAGGAGGGAAAAAGCAAAGTGGGGAAACTTCTGGGATTGGATGAAAAGTACAATGATAGACACACGGATCTTTTTTTTTTATCCTCACCCGAGGACATTTTTTCCATTTTTTGTTCAGATAGAACGGGAGAGGGAGAGAGAGAGAGAGAGAGAGAGAGAGAGAGAGAGAGAGAGAGAGAGAAACATCGACGTGAAAGGACACGTCAAGTGGTTGCCACCAGCACGACCCATCCAGGGCTGGGGACAAACTGCAACCGAGGTACATGCCCTTAGCGGGAACCGAACCCAGGTCTCGTCGGACTGCAGGCTGATCCTCTAACCACTGAGCCAAACCAGCCAGGGCGACAAACACATCTTTTACATAGGTAGGTACAGGATAGTTAATGAGGGGATTTGTGGTTTCCACTCAGGTGCATAGGTTGTGCCCTGAGGGGTCTGGAAAAAAGGAAGTTACCCCACACTCCAAAGGTCTGTGATCTTAGTTGCAAAAAGACAACAGGCTCCTTTAAGGTGAAAGTTGACCTTTGTCAGGGAAGAGGCCAGCCTAGTACATGACTACCTGCCAAAAAATGCTTTTAGTTAAAAAGTTTACATTTCAGACCATCCTTTGTGGTTACTTTAGGTCTGAGTTTGCAAGGCTGCCACACAGTCCAGCCTGAGCTTGTCAGGGTAGCATGTGGCCCCTTTCCGTCCCCACATGGTTCAAAACGAGTAAGGTCTGAGAAGGGAAGTGGTGACATCTCCCTCCGACCCCTCTCCCCTGGTCACCTAGCTCCCTTCCCCAGAGGCACCAATGTTCCCAGCCTCCTGTGCATGTGTGCAGAGATACTGTCACATTCCTGGGTCACCTCTGTGTCTTGCATTTTTCACCTAACTATATGCTCGGAGACAGTTCTGTGTCTGCACACAGCTGTGCAACCGCTGGCTTTCTGGCTGCCATGGCTGTTTAACTGGAGCTCTGTCACAGACAATTCACTTGTTTCTGTCTTGGTTTTTGTTTTTCACTGTTACAAAGAACGCGGCAGCCAATGGCCTGTGTACTTTGCATCTGCTCACATTGCAGGATAAACTGTGAGTGTGAGAGCCAGGGCAGAGGGTCTGTGCGTCCGTCATTCTGAGGGATGTGCCACACTCCTGGCAGAGAGGCAGTGCCAGTCTGCCCCAGACCAGCAGTGTCAGCAAGTGGCTAGGACCCTTTAAAAAGGTGTCCCTGTGGTCCTCGGCCAGGCATGATCCTAGATGCCTTTCTCCCTCCACTCATCCCCCAGGCCTGGGCTGACGGTGGGCGAACCCTTCCCGTGGGCCAGGCCTTTAATCTCCTGTTTCCTGAACTCGCTTCATCATCTGAAGCACCTTGGAGTGATGCTTAAAATTCACATTCCTGGGCCTGTCCCACACCTGCTGAATCCCAGTCTGCAGGGGAGGACCCTGGAATTTGCATCTTTAAAAAAAAATCCTCACCCATGGATACTTTTCCATTTATCTTCATATGGAGTGGGAGGGAGGGAGGGAGGAGGAGGAGGAGAAGGAGGGGAGAGAGAGGGAGATATCAACATGAGAAGGACCCATCAACTGGTTGCCTCTGGCAGGGCCCCAACCAGGGCCGGTGAGGAACTGCAACCGAGGTACATGCCCTTGATGGGAATCGAACCCACGACTTTTTGGTCCGCCGGCCGATGCTCTAACCGCTGAGCCAAACCCGCCAGGGATAGAATGCGCATCTGTAACCAGCCCCCTCTGTTGAAGGCAGGTCTGGTGCAGGATCTCAGTTAACTCTCTCCACTCAACCCCCACTGCGGGTCATTGTTCCCATTTAAGGAACAGCTGGTCCTGTGAGTGGTTCCAGAGGGGGGGCACCCAGGGAGGTGCGGTGACCCCTGTACTTTCTCCTGTTTCCTTGCAGGAGCCACGGTCTCCCGGGGCCTGTGGCTCGGCTGCCCCCTGCTGGTTGTGGCGCCCAAACTCGCGCGGTGAGCGACCTGCGCGCATCACCTCCAGTGCCCAGGTCGGAGGCCCGGACCCAGAGCCTCCGCGGGGGCTGGGAGACCAGGGCCTGACCCCTACAAAGGCTCGAAAGGCAGAATAATGACTGATGGAGATCCTGCAGGTGCTTCCGCTGACCTGTGTGCGCGGCTGGGCCGCTTGCTTTCCCGCCGGGACAGAACTGTTCAGGAAGGGGGCGCTGTCAAGGGCAGGGGGACCTTACCTACTAGTTACTGCCTTTCTCCGGAGAGAGGCCAGCACCATGGGCGCAGCCAGGCACCGTGTCGTTCTACTCGGCCTCGGCTTCCCGCCCTCAGCGCTGCAGGCTACACCGGCTCCCCCTCCGACATTTAGCAGAGCCGAAATAAATGAACCCTCACCAGAAGCCAATATTCCTGCCTGATCGCTGGGGCTAATTGATGTTTCGGTGGGCATTTCATTGCTTGGGAATTAAAACATTTAACATGGCTCAACGTTAAATCAATTTTTAAATACATTTTCCAGACGCCTCCATTTCATAGGAATTCAGCTGAATAGATGGTTGTGGAATTACCGCTGAAGCGGCCCCCACATTCCTTTTCTGGGGGATGCGAGGCTCTTCCGGTCTTAAAGTGCTCCGGGCTCCAGGCACAGGTGGAAATAAAGGGAAACGCATTGGGGTTTCTGCGGCCATCATTGGGGTGACTGGCCAGCAGAGCCGACTGGCCGGTCCTTCCGAGGCTGGGACAGAGCTGCTCCTGGGGATTCGCCGGAAGGGGAACAGTGGCGCCCGCCAGCTCCACACCAGGTGTGCCTACTCGGAGACAGTGTGCAGGTGACAAGTCGGGTGCCCTGGGCACTTCTGCCGCCAGCCCATCAGTCCTGCTGCTCACACCTGAGCCAAGAAAGCCCGAGTGCCCCAACTCTCAGGGTTCCCGAAGAGGTGGGCAGGCTTTGAAAAGCAGCGTGGGTAGGTGTGGGAGAGACAAGCATACTCTTAGGTGTCACAGGTGGGCATGACAGGAAGGTACGGTATTGACTATGGTTTGGCTTCCTCCCTTCGGTGGGAGGTGGCGCCAATGCCGCTTCTCCAGCCAGGCCACTTCTGTTGGCACAGACCACACCAGCCCGGCTCAGTGGGCAGGGCCCCGCTCGGGGAGGGAGCTGGGGGATGTGTGCACGTGGCGAGCGGAAGGCCCTGGTCTCCCTCTGTTCTGCTCCCTGGGCGACCCCGGCAGCTGCCAACGCCATCCCTTCCCGTCGTGTGTGCAGTGAGTGCCTGGCTGGTGGCTCCTGTTTCGGAGGCCCGCCCTGCCTTGACACTTCTGAGGGTTCCCCTGTGTCCTCGCGCGCCTCCTCCTCCATCAACCCCGCCAGGTGGGTGCTGCTACGGTCCCCACTTTTCAGGTGAGGGGACTGAGTCTGAGGGTAAGGACAGCTTGTCACAGGCTCTCAGAGGGTGGGATTTCAGTGCTGGTTTTTTTAAATCTCGCACTGAGCAGCCTCCTTTAACTTCTCTAATGAGTTAGATCAGAGAGAGATTCTGTAAATCCCTTTCCCTCTCCTTCTGGAGGGAGGCCAGGTGCCTCACAGCACTTATAATTGGCGATGGCCTCGGGCAGGAAGACAAATCGAGCTTATGCCCCGCAGGCCCCCCGGGGTCTCAGGGTGGCATGTGCGGTCCTGTGCGCGCAGGAAGCAGCGGTGGCACGAGTGGGCGCTGCTTCGGCCTTTGTGCCAGCCTGCTGCTGGATGCCCAGGCTCCGTCTTCTGCAGCCTCTCAGGAGGAGGTGTCACGGTCACTGGCGTGCAGGCTCCAGGGTGCTGGCTGGGTTCTGGCGGAATATCACCCGAGCTAGATCCTTTCATTGACACTGGTCCTGGTGTGAGGGGCTGGGTCTCCCAGAAGGATTCCCAGGTTAAGTAGGCACACATGGGATAGGCACATTGGCCCGTCCTCAGGAGAGAGCACCCCAAAGAAGCCCCAGCTCTCCCCCAGGTGTGTGTCATCTCGTCTGCTTACCTGGAAGCTGGAAGCTCCTTTGCAGTGACTGTACCACCCTCCCTTAGGGTCTCCTGGTCCTTCCTCTGCTCCCTGCCATGTCAGGCCCCCTGAAACCCCACTCTCCGCACTGCTTCTCTATGACCCGCCCTGAGAGCTTGGGATAGGACACCGGAGGCTCTGATGGGCAGTCTGGTGGATTCCCACTGTGTCCAGTCCAGCTCCAGGACCCATGTCCCCAGGAAGGATCTGGGGTTGGAGGAATGGACATGGCACCTCACCAGCATGCACCCCATCAGAATACAAGCTGCCGCGGGCAGGAGCCCCATCTGCCATGCTCACTGCGTGGTCCGTGGCCCGGCAGTCCCCAGGAGGCTGGGTCATGCTTGGTGTCCTATATCTGTTGAATATATGAGTGAAACCACTTCCCTCCTTGCACCAAACTGAACTCAGTAGGACCTTTGCTCAGGCAAACATTGGGGAGCTTCAGCTCCAGGGGAGCTGGGGACACAGGACTGGAATAGACTCATTTAACAAAAACGTACTAAGAACCTTTACCAGCCCTTGTGCTGGGCACTATGGATACAGAGTACACCCTCCGGGGGGCTCCGCTCTGCTGGGCGCCGGGGGAGGCAGATACACCAGCTGGTGTTAATACTGGAGGGCGATACACCTGGAGGGACAATCGGCAGCTTCAGGTGGCGGCGGTGAAGCGGACAGCAAGGAGGAGTGGAAAGCAGGCGGCAGGGGAAGCCTGGGAAAGAGGATGGAAGCAAAGATTTGGGGGAGGCAAGGGGATTCATGTCTGTCTGTCTGTCTATCTATCTATCTATCTATCTATCATCTATCTACTTACCTACCTACCTACCTGTCTAATCACCTATGTATCTATAGCTATATGTATATCTATAGCTATCTATCACCATCTCGGGCAGAAGGACAAACAAGTGGGAAATCCCAAAGGCAGGATGAAAGGTCAGGGTGTCTGAGGGCTGGGGAGTGACAGGTGCTCGGGAGGAGAGGGTGGGAGCGGGGCCGGAGAGGTGGTGACGGCCGCTCACAGGGCCTCCGGGGCACCACAGGGCTGTGTCTCGTCGTTCCGAGTACACTGAAAGTGGTAGGAGGCAGAACTCACACAGGATCTCTTTCCTTTTTCTTCTTCTCCAAATTGGGAACTAAAAGAAACGTGTTTGTGGAGGCCGAGGGGGTGCCAGCAGTATGAAACTCAAACGCTTATCTGACTTTGCCTGGCTTTTCTTTCTCTGGTGGAAGGGGAGTGGGATTTTATGTGCACATTGCTCGGGGTCGCCGGCTGTTCATGAAATCCCTCCATAGGGCAGGCTGAGGAGCAGAGTCCTGGCCACCCACTGGGAGACCACTTGTCAGGGCGAACTGCTGGGCGGGGACACTGCTGGGCGGGACACTGCTGGGCGGGGACACTGCTGGGCGGGGACACTGCTGGGCGGGGCACTGCTGGGCGGGACACTGCTGGGTGGGGGGGGCACTGCTGGGCGGGGGGGCACTGCTGGGCGGGGCACTGCTGGGCGGGACACTGCTGGGCGGGGACACTGCTGGGCGGGGCACTGCTGGGTGGGACACTGCTGGGCGGGGCACTGCTGGGAGGGACACTGCTGGGCGGGGGGGCACTGCTGGGCGGGACACTGCTGGGCGAGGGGGCACTGCTCAGCGGGGCACTGCTGGGCGGGACACTGCTGGGCGGGACACTGCTGGGCGGGGACACTGCTGGGCGGGGACACTGCTGGGCGGGGCACTGCTGGGCGGGACACTGCTGGGTGGGGGGGCACTGCTGGGCGGGGGGGCACTGCTGGGCGGGGCACTGCGGGGCGGGACACTGCTGGGCGGGGACACTGCTGGGCGGGGCACTGCTGGGTGGGACACTGCTGGGCGGGGCACTGCTGGGAGGGACACTGCTGGGCGGGGGGGCACTGCTGGGCGGGACACTGCTGGGCGGGACACTGCTGGGCGGGGCACTGCTGGGCGGGGCACTGCTGAGCGGGGGGGACTGCTGGGCGGGACACTGCTGGGCGGGACACTGCTGGGCGGGGGCACTGCTGGGCGGGGCACTGCTGGGCGGGACACTGCTGGGCGGGGGGACTGCTGGGCGGGACACTGCTGGGCGGGGCACTGCTGGGCGGGGCGGACTGCTGGGCGGGACACTGCTGGGCGGGGGCACTGCTGGGCGGGGGCACTGCTGGGCGGGACACTGCTGGGCGGGGGCACTGCTGGGCGGGGACACTGCTGGGCGGGGCACTGCTGGGCGGAGTACTGCTGGGCGGGACACTGCTGGGCGGGGACACTGCTGGGCGGGACACTGCTGGGCGGGGGGGACTGCTGGGCGGGACACTGCTGGGCGGGGACACTGCTGGGTGGGACACTGCTTTCCCTCTGCTTAGCGTGCGTTACACACACTCCGCCCACCCCGGCCCCCTCCGCCGCGGCGCTGCCCCAGGCCCGTATCCCAGCAAACCTGTGCACCGAGCATCGCGGTTCCCACGGGCGTTCGGTTCCCGCGGCATGTTGGTGCGGCCTGGCCCGAGGCACGGCGGATCCCTGTGACCTCGGCGCTCACAGCTCTTTCCCAGACACCAAGGCCTCGCAGGGGAAGGGGCTGTGGCTCCGGAGCTCTGCTGGGCTGATGTGCATTCTTTTTTTTTTTTTTTTTTTTTTAATCCTCACCCGAGGACATTTTTCGATATGTTGTTCAGATAGAGTGAGAGGGAGAGAGAGAGAGAAACATCGACGTGAAAGCGACACATCGAGTGGTTGCCACCCACACCACCCAACCAGGGCTGGGGACAAACTGCAACCAAGGTACGTGCCCTTAGCGGGAACCGAACCCGGATCTCTCCAGACCGCAGGCCAACGCTCTAACCGCTGAGCCAAACCGGCCAGGGCTGACGTGCATTCTTTACATATTGTCTGGCTTCCCTTAGTTGATTCCTTGAAAAGGGGTCCTGTGTCAATTCAGTTTGATGAACAGTATGGTAGG